ACGTAAACACACACACACACACACACGCACACATACACAGAGACACCCGCGCACACTCGCACACACCCGCACACATCAACTTTGATCAGGACTTTTTGCTGCGGAGCCTTCTTACTCGTTCTCGGTCTTTCACAGTTGGAACCTCAGAGAAGCCCCAGGTGACCTGTGCCATGATGTTTGGTGGAGGAATCATCCAATGATCGACTATCAAGAAGGAGAGTTGCTTAGGTGTTCAGCAACCAAGTAGTATGTCGTGCTTACGCAATTGGACCATGGCAAAGCTTGATTATGTCTACGCGCTTCTTGTTTGTGATGGCCCACAGGAGTAATTTGTGTAAATTTGAATCTTTTGCTGCAACGATTCTAATCATTTTCTCCATCACAAGAATTAGCAAGAGTCTCGTGACACTTGATGTTGTCCTTCACGATACGGATTTGTCTCCAATACAGGGAGCCCCCAAAACGAGTGGCTTCCATTCAGAAACCACCCCAGAAGGGATTTACCCTAACGCGCACACCAATGTGTTTTACACCGGTTTGAAGGGAAAGCGTCATCACACTACAAAACGATGGATGAAGCCTAGCCTTCTGTTCCGCATGCATATTCGAGGCCGGGACTCTCGCTGTCTTTGAAATCCTCAGCTCAGCCTGAACTTGCTGCCTCAGTGCTGCTCACAGTCCAGTTGATTTGGATTTGAACCTGAACATACTATTCGTCCCACCTTGAACATTTGCCTGACCTGAGGTTCTCACTTTTGCATCAGCTGGCTTGCCTCTTGCTTCGCGGAACTTTGCCCATCCAGCGTCAGTATCTTAGGAGCATGGACCGCCTTTTTGTTGTTGTTGCCAATATCAATTCATGTGTCCGTTTTCGGATGACTCGTCTTATTGCTGTTCCAGGCCGAGCCTGCCCACGCTTGGGTGTGCACGAGTTGACTCTTCATCCTCGGCACGACTCCTGGACTAGTGTCAACAGGTCCACCTTTCTGCGTTTCTATTTTGGTAGGCCTAAACAGCGTAAACAAGTGTGTGTTTTGAGGTCGTTGATGCAGCTCACCCGGATGCCTTGCTGCTGCTACAATCTTGCGCGCGTGCGGAGCTGCCAATCTTGGTGCCGGCTTCCCAAGATCATTCTGAGTCCCACGAACACTCTCACGTGGCAAGTTCGGGCAAAAGCAGTGGGGCCATTTGCATCCCAGGCTGGACCTCTTGAGACCTGGTCCGCCTTTGCTGCTTCAATCTCCCACTCGAATGGGATCTGCTTTGCCACCGTGCGGGCCCATGTCAATATCAGTGGGGCCAGCAAACGCGCATGGGATTCGACTCAAAGGCGCTTCGACTGCTTCGACGATCAGTGGTCTCTTGGGTCTTAAGGTCTGGCTGCGCGTGCACGGGGAGCAGCCTGATACTTCTGGACTGTGTAAGCCCAGGCCAGGTGTTGATTTGGAAGCTACCTCAGCACACTTGCGGTGCCGACCCAGCTGCACTTAGGTGTTCCGCTCGCAATCCGCGGTGCGCTGAAACAAAGCGGTCATTCTCCCAGATGGTTGTTGGGCAGCTTGACATGAGAGCCTTCTGCTTTTGACTCTGATGTGTACTTCACAGGCGAAATCTCCCTGGGACAAGATCTGAATGTCAACGGCTACGGCAGATTTGGCAATTGGCCGTCAGCATTCAGAGCCTGCCTTATGAGAAAGGAAGCAGGTATATGCATGAATGTCTTGCAGGCATGAGCAGAAAGCGTGCATTCAGTGTATTTGGTCGAGACCTACTTGCAATGCAAGGTTATTCCAATCTTGCTTCGACAATGCCAGTGAGGTCATTTGCAAGGCAGGTCAGCAGCGGCACAGCTGCACAAATGCGGAAACACCTTGCAGGTTTGACCCACTGGTGCCCGCTCTTGACTCAACGCACCTCGCGCCAAGCTTGCCACTACATAGCCGCCACCTTGGACTCACGTACTCTCAGGTTGGTTGAATTCACAGCCGGTGCATCACTTAGACGATGGTCTGAGGCTGCGCACGTGCGGACGCATCCCTGGCGGTCATGGCCTTGACCCATCCAGGCACTTCCCTGGCTGCGTTGGACGTGGCTGGCCTGGGTCTGCTGCTGCCATCGCATAGGAGAGCCCTCAGAGCTGCCATCTCATGTGGCAGCACAGAGTCAAGCCTGTCAACTGTGCTCATTAGGATGGCCTGATTGGGCTCTTCCTTGCCAGCATGTGGGCTGTCGCATTTCGATAGCTCGCCCTCTGCCGTGGACTTCGCAATGTTTCTGCCTGAGATGTTTCCGTGCTCTCTACTCGGCGTGTGCCAAGTAGAGAATGGGCTGCAAGGCTTGGCTCGCCCGCAGCTTCACGATCTTCCGCATGACCCGGTTTTGTTGCACCAGTCCCAGGCAGACCCGAAATGCACAGTTCTTTGTGTGAGCACAGTGATGCCTGCCACAAGTGCGGGCGAGTTGCCGGTGCATGTGGGCAGGCCACAGCGCTGCTGGTTCCTCGCTTATGCTTCGACAGTCGGCTTGACTGGGTGCATCGCTTTTCTTCCTCGGGTGTGGACGGCCGCGGGCTTGATTGCAGGGAGAGACGTGGTGCGAACCTTGAGCATGGTCACACACAATGAGTCAAAGGTCTGGACTTTTGCCGTCTGCATCGGATAGTACGCACCTTGAAGTGCCTCTTGCTGCTAGAAGCTCTAGCCGCACTGGCTGGGGGCTTAAGGTTGAGTATTCTGTATGAGGTCGTGTCGTGTAGGTCGTGCAGACGCTTGTTTCAGCAAGTTGACGTCAATGCACTGGTTCTCCTTGACCACTATGTACACAAACTAGTCGGAGATGTGCAAATGGGAATTGTCGCCTTGGATGTGTCAGGCCTTCTTGCTCCGGCTTTGGGCTTCGCTGGGCCTGGTGCCGAGCCGGAACATCCCGTCCTGACAGTGACTTCTGCTGCGTTCCTCGTTGCTTGTTTAGCCAGGCTTGACTTGCCGCCGGCATCACGTGGACTTGCTCAGCCAGGCCTGGCAGAAATGCTCGCACCAGAAGACTCCAGCATGCTGACTTTTTTTTGTGTTTGGGGTGGGGGCAAAATTCATGATTGTCATGCATGCTTCGTCGTGTGGACAAAGGTGCTGTGGCTTTTGTCTCGGACTTTGTCTCTTTTGGACTGCTGCTGCTCGTGCGGAGGACTCGTATTTGTAGCATGAAATCGGCATGTTGGCAAGCGAAGGTGTTGAACGTGGTTTGGTGGCGCTTCTTCTCTCTGTCTTTCTGAACGAGTCCGATCTGCGTGATAAACGAGCCATCATATCATGTGGTCACAGCAGTATATTTGTATACTGGGCTCGAAAACATTGCCTTGGATGCCTTGGCACGAGGATTTGCTGCTTGGGCCCGGCATCACCTTTGTGCTCTGGTTCTACGGTCTCCTTGATGTCAGCCCTGGAGCTTGTGACGTCGGGCCTCCCAGGTGTGAAGCGCCGTGAGGGTTGACTCGTGACATTCGGGGGTAGCCCTTTGTTGGCTTTAAAAGAGAGGCCAAGAGGAACACCACCATTTTGCGGGGTCCCCTAAACGAGACATGCCCACATTCTGAGCATGCAATGTTCTGAGTTCTGGACCATTGATGGCCCTGCGTGGATTTGGCTGGCCAGAGCTCTCGATCTCCGTTTCAGGCGCAAGCAGAGATGCACACGCTTTCAGGATGTCCATACTGCACTTTCGGCTTTGCAAATTAGGCCTGAGCAGCGCTGGATCCACCCCGCCTTTGCGTGGACCAGCCTGTTTGGACGTGCTGTTGCCCTTGATGAGATGCGGTTGGACCCGCGCTTAGCAGAGAGTACGGACTCTCCAAGAGCCGGAATGAGGTCTCAAAATGGACACTCCTTTGTTTGGATTGGCAAGCGAGCAGTCAACAACTACTCACTAAGGCTTGGACTTTCGCCACCCGCATTGGACCTGGTGCGATGTGGATTCTTTGTGCCCTTGCGCAGCTCTGCTTGCTCTGGTCAGGGCCCCAGCGCACGTGCAGCGTTGGATGTCTTGCTGGCATGAACTTTGCCAGCCATCAATGCTGCCAGGATTGCCAGCTCCAGCCCTTGGTCTTGCTTATTTGGATGCTTTCTCGTCCCTCCACAGGCCACAGTTGGAAGTGACAGGGTGTTTTTAGATTCGCAGTTTGATCAGGACGTCTAGGTGCGGGTCTTCGTCGCTTGTTCTCGCTCTTTCACAGTTGGAACCTCAGAAAAGCCCATGTGACTTCTCCCATGATGTTCTGTGGATAGAATCACCCACAAGGATGGGAGAAAGTAACATCGGTATGAGTACATACACCTTTGCTGCAGGTTCCGGGCCATCCCAATCATATTTTTTCCATCGCAGGATGTCCTCTATATTGTTCCAATACAGCTGATCGTTAAACTCGATGTTCTCTATGATTTATTCTGCATCGCTTCAAGGACAAGAGAGTCAGTCAACACACGGCAAAGCGATTGATGAAGCCTGTTTCAGTCAATAAGTCTTCTGTTCCAGATGCATCTTCGAGGCCGGGACTCTCGCTGTCTTTGAAATCCTCAGCTCAGCCTGAACTTGCTGCCTCAGTGCTGCTCACAGTCCAGTTGATTTGGATTTGAACCTGAACATACTATTCGTCCCACCTTGAACATTTGCCTGACCTGAGGTTCTCACTTTTGCATCAGCTGGCTTGCCTCTTGCTTCGCGGAACTTTGCCCATCCAGCGTCAGTATCTTAGGAGCATGGACCGCCTTTTTGTTGTTGTTGCCAATATCAATTCATGTGTCCGTTTTCGGATGACTCGTCTTATTGCTGTTCCAGGCCGAGCCTGCCCACGCTTGGGTGTGCACGAGTTGACTCTTCATCCTCGGCACGACTCCTGGACTAGTGTCAACAGGTCCACCTTTCTGCGTTTCTATTTTGGTAGGCCTAAACAGCGTAAACAAGTGTGTGTTTTGAGGTCGTTGATGCAGCTCACCCGGATGCCTTGCTGCTGCTACAATCTTGCGCGCGTGCGGAGCTGCCAATCTTGGTGCCGGCTTCCCAAGATCATTCTGAGTCCCACGAACACTCTCACGTGGCAAGTTCGGGCAAAAGCAGTGGGGCCATTTGCATCCCAGGCTGGACCTCTTGAGACCTGGTCCGCCTTTGCTGCTTCAATCTCCCGCTCGAATGGGATCTGCTTTGCCACCGTGCGGGCCCATGTCAATATCAGTGGGGCCAGCAAACGCGCATGGGATTCGACTCAAAGGCGCTTCGACTGCTTCGACGATTAATGATCTCTTGGGTCTTAAGGTCTGGCTGCGCGTGCACGGGGAGCAGCCTGATACTTCTGGACTGTGTAAGCCCAGGCCAGGTGTTGATTTGGAAGCTACCTCAGCACACTTGCGGTGCCGACCCAGCTGCACTTAGGTGTTCCGCTCGCAATCCGCGGTGCGCTGAAACAAAGCGGTCATTCTCCCAGATGGTTGTTGGGCAGCTTGACATGAGAGCCTTCTGCTTTTTACTCTGATGTGTACTTCACAGGCGAAATCTCCCTGGGACAAGATCTGAATGTCAACGGCTACGGCAGTTTTGGAAATTGGCCGTCAGCATTCAGAGCCTGCCTTATGAGAACGAAGCGGGCATGTGCATGCATGTCAATGACAGACATCAGCAGAAACCATGCATTCAGTGCATTCGGTCCAGACATACTTGCAAGGTTATGCCAATCTTGCATCGACAATGCCAGCGAGGTCAATTGCAAGGCAAGCTACTCGGTCGGTTTGTGGCCAATTGGTTTTTCCGCCGCTAGGCTTGAGCTTGCGGTGCCTGTTTCTGACTTCTCGAACCTTGAGCTCCCGTCGACATTGCATGGCCGGCGCCTTTGTTTTGCGCTACGATTCACATGACGTCTGCCTTCAATAGCACAAATTATTTGCATAGGAACTGCTTGGCAACTCTCCCTCTTCTTTGTTTGCTTTCAATCAGCGTGTGTCTTATGATTTTTATGCTTAGATTTCAGACCATGACGCAACTGAGGCATTCTTGTCCAGCGCATGTGCAATCTGCAAGTAGTGAATTGCTGCAGATGAGATTCAACTCTAGAGAAGCAGACACACTCACAGAGCTCTTGTGCAGGGAGGTGTTGCGCAGAAAGTAGATTCTGACTTGTTGACCGTTCCATTCTATGCTTTCCAATTTCGCTTGAGGCTGCAGCCGTTTGGACCCGGCCATTGCAGCCAGCGGAACGGTTCGGGCTCTACGAGGGGTTCAGTATGTCATTGTGAGCAGATCAAGTAGCTTGCCGCTTCCTGTGATTCGAGGCCCAGCTTGGAGCGCGGCTGCCGATCCTGGACTCTGCGAGTGTCGGCCCATCCTTTCTGCCGCATGGTCATTCAAGGCTCTGCCCCTCATGGAGCATGCCTCTCACTTTCTGTGTGTCAGGCTAGGGCTCGCAGCACTTGCTTTTGCCTGCGGCATAGCACATGAGTCACAATCAAAACCCGGGCAATTGGAGGGTAGTAAGGGACAAACATGGGTGCGGCCGCCTTTTCAATTCTGCACATGGTTTCTTGCCGGGTAGACCATTTTAATACCGCGTTTTGATTGTGATTCACATCTAGTCCCCAGATGAAGACAGATGGTTTAGTCTTGCTTTGCCGAGGATGTGACGCTGCTTGATCTGTCATCATCCCCACGGAGTGCGCATTGCCTTGGCTTGCTGCTGGCTGCGTGCGAGCCTCAGACGAAGAGCAAGCTCATTCTTTTCCTATCTGTGCTGCACTCGAGGTGTGGTATGTCACGCTTGGGTACACCACTGCCGGCACCGGGCCGTACAACTCCGGGGCTGGGTGCTTAGCTTCTCAGCAAGTACAGGTGAAGCAGGGTTCATGCGGAACGTGCGCAGAGCAATGTGTAAGGCGTGCTTGTGTGTGGTCGGTCTTTGCATTGAGTTGACGGTTTCATGAAAGGCTGATGACTAGCGATGATTGAGCATGGTTGGAGCTTCTTGCGCAGGGCTGTGCCGCTTGGATTCGCCAACCGAGGCCGCTTCTGTCATTGCACAGCCCGGCACGCATGGATCCAGCGGCTTTTGCATGGGCCTTGGTTTGCAGGGACCATTTCTGTGACAGTTGTTCCCCAGACTTGGTGATGGCGGTCCGTGGCGGTCCGTTCAGGTTCTAGGTTTTGCCAATCTCGGCTCTGCGCTGGTGGCGAGGGCATCCTCACAGCAATTTGCTCAGTTCGCGGTGCTGCTTGACACAACAGGCTTTTGCCAGCCGTACATGGAGTCTCTTGCAAATCCAGCCCCCTGTGAGTCGCGAAATCGGACGTTTGCGGCTGAGGCCCGAGTTGCTGCTTCTGACAAGAAGCTCTGTATAACTAGATGCGGCCCTTTTCATCCAAGGTGGGGGCTGGCGATGATGCGAGAGACAGCCAGAATTGCTTGCGCCAGGCGGCTGTCCTTTGGAATCAATTCCGCCGGCTCGTAGCCTCATCAGCTTCGGCTCGGCAACGCCAGCTTGTGGATTGGGGTGGCAGCGGCCTCAACATCACAGCGGTAACTTGCCGCTTGCAGACTGGAACAGATTTGGCGGCGCGGCCCGTTTGGGCAGTTCGGGCCGTTCGGCACCAAACGTTGCAAGGCCGGGACCGGCGTTGGCGGTGCCAGACCGGACCAGCCTGGATGCAGCAATCCCATTGAGGGCATGTGCACGTTCAGGCGGCACGCTGTAGACATGGGAGTTTCTTAACTTCGTTCCTGTCGGAACTGCAGTCTGACTGTATCAGGCGCGGCTGCAGCAGTGACCAATCTCGCCCAGCCCCACCCTCATTCTCGATTGCCTGCTTGACACGTGCCAGACATTGCTTTGACATAGCGATGCTTGCAGGCCCGGCAGTTTCCTGGCACCCCGTAGTCCTGCACACCCAGGAGTTGATGTAAGACATGTTGGGGCTATTTGCGTGAATCAATTTCAATCCAGCCTGCCTTCATTGAATGCCATTTTCCTGCCTGCGCGCTTCATCAGGAGCCTCGACTTTCGTTTTGAGCGCCTCTCAAGCTGGCTCTTCTTTGCTGCCACGAGCGCAAGCAGCTCAGAGTTTCTACGATGCAGTCTAATCCAAAGATGCAAACACAACATCATCAATTTGTGCACACAATACTTACAGTGGAGTGAAATTGCCAGATGCACTCAGTATTTGTCCATGCTCAGGGTGCACTACTCTGGCATATCGGCATCGGCCTTTGGACTCGTGTGTTCTGGATTGGCGCTACCAATTCCCAATAGTGCAAGGCCAGCAACTCAGATTCTGAATGCCCTCTGCACATGTCTAGGTCCTGTTTCGCAGTGCAAAGCAACCATTCCGCGGCCTGGCCGTTGCATTTGCACGCCCAAGTTCCGGAGTGCCACTCCTGCTGAAGATGTTTGCCCGAACCGGGGGCACACTTCTGGTCATGCGCCCAGAGCGCCAATTTTGACGGTCATGTTGCTGAGTGACACAGACCAGTCGTGCGCAATGTTCCAGGCCTTGAGCGAAGCCTCCACTGAATCTTCCTTGTTGACTCGCGGATGTGCACGGCTTGGGTTTGCAGCCCAGATTCATACTTGACTGCTATGAACTGGTCCATGAGCACAGATCTTGCCTGGGAGCTGCACAGTCTGAAGACTACGCCCCCCACACTCCAAGGCCAGCCCCCCTGTTGCCCGGCTGCGCTAGACCGGACTTGCCTCTAGCAGCGCGTGCCTTACTGCAGTGGCGGTAAAGCGGCGGCGTGAGATGCATCACATTGTTTGCTCCTGTGTGTGTGTGTGTGTGTGTGTTTGAAGGGTTCTTGATGTCGAGTACTGAACTGCTCGAGACGAGCACAGCAGGACCTTCCCCAAGTTTTTCTACTCGTTTGACTATCTCTGGTCTATCCAAATCGCTCTATTTCTCGACACTTTGAGCAGCGTTCAAAACCCCGATGAAAGAAGTTAGTAAAGGTGTCGTGCTGCATGTTGCTGCGTGAGAAAACACAGGGCATCACAGGGTCGCGAAAGCTTCGCGAAAGGGACGCGAGGAATCATGTCTGCGAAAGGGGCGAAAGGCCGATTTCGAGCACTGGGAAAGGGTTTCTTGGCCGAATGTGCTCCCCGAAAGCAAAACTGTGGAGTGCGCAAGATTCGTGAAAGGCTACGAGAGGGTTCGCGAAGGCAGAAATGGAATACAACATCATGGGACCCAGGTTTTGACCATCGCTCGACTTCAGCATAGGAAGGCACAACGAGTACTTCACTGAAGAGACTGCAGCATTTCACCTACAGCAGAAAGGACTATCCTTCGAAGGTAAAGAAACATGATCAACGGTCCAAAATTTCCCTCGCCATCTCTGCCCGATCTACTTGAAAACTCTCTTGAGACCTCAGCATTGCACTGGCATACATTGCTTGGGCCGAACAGCAAGGAATGTAATGTCACGGCGGCGCTGTACAGTACTATTCTGCAGTGTAACGAGAATGTAACCTAATGCCACATATTTTCCCCCTTTTTCACAACTGAACTCCTTCAGCAGCAGGATCTCTTTGTGTATCAGTTTTGCCGATTTTCACAGGTTCCAACAGCGGTCTATCGGACAATGACACTTCCATGTTAAGAATCAAAGGTTCTTTTCTTGTCTTCGATTGTTTCCTTTGAGGACCATGTATATATATAAGTACATAAGTATATATTTGGTTATACATATCTATGAATAGAAGCATACACACACACATATATATATATATATATGCATATGCATTCACGCAAGCACGCTTGAATCAATAAATAAATCTATGAATGTACGTACGAACGAACGAACGACCGAACGAACGAATGAATGAATGAATGAATGAAGGAAGGCAGGAAGAAAGGAACGAACGAAGGAAGGAATGAGCAAATCAGTGAATGAAGAGTGAATGAAGAGTGAATCAAGAGTGAATCAAGAGTGAATCAAGAGTGACATGAAATGACATGGACTGGAATGGAATGACACGACATCACGTGAACTGAAGCAAGCGACGGAAGGAAGGAAGGAAGGAAGGAAGGAAGGAAGGAAGGAAGGAAGGAAGGAAGGAAGGAAGGAAGGAAGGAAGGAAGGAAGGAAGGAAGGAAGGAAGGAAGGAAGGAAGGAAGGAAGGAAGGAAGGAAGGAAAGGAAGGGAAGGGAAGGGAAGGGACAGGAAAGGAAAGGAAAGGAAAGGAAAGGAAAGGAAGGGAAAGGGCAACGGAAAGGGAAGGGATGCTCAGGGAAGGGAAGGGAAGGAAGGAAGGAAGGAATTATTGCGAGAAGAAAGTGAAGTGAAGTGACGTGAAGTGAATGAACTGGAATCAAGAAGAAACATGAAAATAATGGAAATGAATGAGAGAAGGAAAGCATAAATTAAGGAATAAGCCCATGAAGCAACGAGGTATTCATGCATGTGCACGAAGCAACACACATTTTTGTCAGGCAGCTTATGCCTAAACAAACGTTACATGCCTCAGGTCGCTGACGTCGCCGGCTTGGGTGCCTTGCCGCCTTTGCGATCTTGGGCACAGACAGAGCTGGCAGTCTTGGTGCCGGTTCCCAAGGATTCGACATTGCTTGTAGACTGTCATGCATGTTCACGCGGCGAGTTTCGACAGTGAAGCGCTGTGGAACCTGAGCCCATTGGGCTGGTTTGCATCCCAGGCTGGACCTCTTACATCCTGGTTTGCCTCTACTTCTCAAAAGTCTTAGTTGAGCGGGCTCCACCTGGCTGTTGTGCGGGCCTGTCCGTGGATCACTGTCAGCTGAGCGACATGTGCACATTGTGCAGATGAGAGCCTCAGTGAACTGTGGGAAGTTGCGATTGAGGTCTGGCGCTGCACGCCCAGGGAGCAGCCTGACAACGCTGGACTTTGTCAGCTCAGGCTAGGACCTTGCGAGCAAAGCACAAGTTTTGATTTGTCAAACTACCGTGCTTGCATTGCTGACCTGGCTGTTCTCAGGCGCTCCAATCGCAACTCGTGGTGCGCTGAAACAAAGCGGTCAGTTTCCTAGTTGTTTGGTACGCACAAGAGAACTGCGGGTCGCATAGAGAATCTTGTGCACTGCAGAGGACAAATATCCTTGGGACAAGATCTGAACGTAGATGGCTACGGCAGATTTGGATTGTGGCCCTCGGTCTTCAGAGCCTGCCTTATGGGATGGGGAACACCATGCACACATGTCCCACAACCAGGCATCACCAGAGAGCATGCACGTTGCATTTGGTTTGCACTTATGTGCGAGACAAGGTTATTCAAATCTTGCATCCACGATGCCAGCAAGGTCATTTGCAAGGCAGGCTGGTGTTTATTTGTAGCAGTGCTGGAGAAAACGCCTTGCCGGATTCTTGCAGGCTTGACCTACTGGTGCCAGCTATTGACTCCGCGCACCTCGCGCCAAGCTTGCCACTACATAGCTGGCACCTCTGACGTTTGCTCTCAGGGCTCAGCCCAGGTTGGTTGAATTCGCGGCCGGTGCTGTGATCACTTAGATACCTCGGTCTGAGGCTGCCTGCGTGCGGACGCATCTCTCGTAGTTGTGGACTTCACCCACCTGGGCTCCGCCTCGTTGCTAAGAAGCTTTGCAAGGCGGCAGCCGGGTGCCGGGGGTGCCGGGTGCCGATGAGCCAATGTCGAAGCCAGGCTTGGAGCTCCGACAGCTGCTCTGGGGGCTGCACCGGCCTGAGCAAACTTTGAGCTCCGAAGCTGCTCCCTGAATCTGTGGGCGCATGCTCGGAGCTTGAGTCACCAAGGCAGCACCAGAGTCCTTTTTGCCCCTGCAAGGCAGAGTTTGGCGTGGGAGCATGCAGCCAGCGAATCGAATCGTGTGGCATTTGGAGGCCCTGGCTGCCTGGGTTTGACCTTGGCCGCAAAAGGATTGCTCCGCTGCGGAGCTCCTTCGCCCTTTCCTGGGGCTGCTTGTGTGGACTTGTCGTCGCTTGGAATGATTAGTTTTTCTGACCCATACCCATTTTTTGGGACAGCTGACTCACAATCTTGCTGAGCCAAGGCCAATGGCATTAGATTTCGGCCATTCAGATGCCTCGTTCTTTCTGCAGAGCTTTGCACGCCACTGCCTCGGCCAGCAGCTGTCGCATTTCCGAGCGCGCGCGTTTTGAAGGCCCTGGCCTGCCCTCGTCCGTGCCTGGTGCTTCAGTGGCATCCTCCCTATCCTTGCAGAGCTCGCAATGCGCATCGCTCAAGCGCAGACTTCGCTTTCCATTGTTGCAAAACACGTGCTTCTAGTGTCTCCCGTGCCGTGGAGCAATGCAGTTTTTTTGTTCTCTTTGTCTTTTGCTCTTAGTCTCTGCTAGAAACACATAGCTTTAGTGTACGTGCAGGTGCTGAAGCCTCGCCGTTTGCCTGTGGCATTGGGCGATCAGGAGATGCTCTCTCGCTCTCTCTCTCTCTCTCTCTCTCTCTCTCTCTCTCTCTTTCTCGCTCTCGCCAGGATTTTTGCCGCTGGTGACCGACTTTGCTCAGCCCGGCACCCGAGATGACGGAACCTAAATATGGATTGCGGATTAGAAGCAGCTCCTTGCAGAGACCGCAGTTTGTTTAAGAGCTGGCTTTGGCCTCAAGCTGGAGTAAGTTTTGCGACTCTTTGAGGCTTGACCTTCCGTCATCTATTCGAAGCTTTTGCTGGGTAGGCACGCTGACATCAGCACTTGGGTCTCAGGGTTTGTTTGACTTGACCTGACTTGCTCATGGCACGCAGGCACTGCACTGGCTGCAATGGACGTGGCTGGCCTGGGTCTGCTGCTGCCATCGCATAGGAGAGTCCTCAGAGCTGCCATCTCATGTTGCAGCACGGAGCATATTGACTGCATGCTGCAGGATGGCCTGGTTGGGCTCCTCCTCGCCTGCATGTGGGCTGTCACATTTTGATAGCTCGCCCTTTGCCGTGGACCGTGCAATGCTTGTGCCCGAGACGCCTCTTTGTGGTACCAAGTTTAGACCGGGGATGCGTGTTCATGTTGAGTGATCTCAGTGGCACTGTCCAGCTTGCTACTCGCTTTAGGTGTGGACCTTCGCCGCCTTTGCATTCCTCAGCACAGCCTGGACTTGCTGCTTCAGTGCAAAGCCCAATGGGGTCCGACTTGAAGATGGCAGTACTGCACCGAACCACTCCAAGGCATGCACCTTTGCCTTGATGGGCTTGTCCCTTCTTCTGCAGAACCTTGCCTAGTCAGCGCCACTGTCTCAGAAATGGAACGACTGGCTGTGTGTGTGTGTGCGTGTGGGTGCGTGTGCAGCTGTATTCTTTGGGCTTACGAACGACCAAACAAGTAGGCAACGCAGTGCGTGCTGCTGCTGCTGCTGCTGCTGCTGCTGCTGCTGCTGCTGCTGCTGCTGCTGCTGCTGCTGTTGCTCCTGTGCTGTCTGGAAGACTGAGGAGGGGGCTTGTGCACTTTCATAGGCGACATCTTTTTGCCAAACGACTCTAGCTGTTCCAGGCCGAGCTTGCCTGCATCAGGGTGCTCCCAATCTGACTCATCGACGTCAGCGTGAATCTTGGAACACTTCAGCTTTGGTTGCAGAATCGGTGCAGCTTTGGTTGAAAACAAGCCTGGAAAGTGTCAATCTGGAAGGTCGCCGACGTCGCCGGCTTGGGGGCCTTGCCGCCTTTGCGATCTTGGGCACAGATAGAGCTGGCAGTCTTGGTGCCGGTTCCCAAGGATTCGACATTGCTTGTAGACTGTCATGCATGTTCACGCGGCGAGTTTCGACAGTTAAGCGCTGTGGAACCTGAGCCCATTGGGCCGGTTCGCATCCCAGGCTGGACCTCTTACATCCTGGTTTGCCTCTACTTCTCAAAAGTCTTAGTTGAGCGGGCTCCACCTGGCTGTTGTGCGGGCCTGTCCGTGGATCACTGTCAGCTGAGTGACATGAGCGCGTTTTGCAGAATAGAGCCTCGGTGAATTGTGGGAAGTTGACATTGAGGTCTGGTGCTGCACGCTCAGGGAGCAGCCTGACAACGCTGGACTTTGTCAGCTCTGGCTGGGAGCTCAAGTGGAGAACCTTGCAAGCAAAGCGCAAGTTTTGATTTCTTGCATTGCTGACCCGGCTGTTCTCAGGCGCTTCAATCGCAACCCGCGGAGCGCTGCAGCCCAGTGGCCACTGTCCCAGAGATTGTGCCACGATCATTTGTGAGACATATTCTGCGGTCATGATTCAGATTGTGCAGGAGAAATCTCCTTGGGACAAGATCTGGATGTGGTCGGCTTTGGCAGCATTGGGAGGTGGTTCTCGGTATTGAGAGCTAGCCTCGGTGATGTAGTTGAAGCTTCCCTTGGCCTGAATGTTTTCTCAGGTTACACGAACCTTGCATCCACAACGCCAGCAAGGTCAATGACAAGGCAACTTCTGCAAATATCTTTTCAGGCTTTAGCGAATTTGTGAAGACTGCATTCAGGCTTGGTCTGGCAGCAATTGTTCTGGACTCCTCGCGCTTCGAGCTCTTGCTGCTATCGCAAGGCCAACTCGGAGGGTTTAGCTCGACGCAGTCAGCGGACGCACACGATATTTTAGTATCCAAAACGGACGAATCGCTCGCTTTTCCCTTGCTCAATGTACTCATGATTGTGTAAATGCCGAGGTGTTGCCCACGTTAGCTAGCTTTCGACGCTGTGCGGTTTCTACTTGAAAGCAGTGTGTGAAGAAATCCCTGGCAACCCTGAGCCGCCCAGCGTGGGAAGGTAGCAGGCTTGCATGTGACAAACCCGAATGCATTGCAAGCATGGTGCTAGGAATAGTTTTATTTGTTGTGTTTTGAGTAACGTGTCATGTAGGAAACTGTTATGGGTGCGCCCAGATATGAAGTCAGCGGCCCTGTCTCGTGCTGACAACATTGTCCCAGCGACAACCTGCAGCTTCAATCCAATTCTATGCTTTCCAATTTCGCTTGAAGGCTCCAGCCGCTTGGACCCGGCCATTGCAGCCAGCAGAATGGTGCGGGGTCTAAGAGGGGTTCATCAAGAGCGCATCAAGTAGCTTGCCGCTTCCTGTGATTCGAGGCCCAGCTTGGAGCGCGGCTGCCGATCCTGGACTCTGCGAGTGTCGGCCCATCCTTTCTGCCGCATGGTCATTCAAGGCTCTGCCCCTCATGGAGCATGCCTCTCACTTTCTGTGTGTCAGGCTAGGGCTCGCAGCACTTGCTTTTGCCTGCGGCATAGCACATGAGTCACAATCAAAACCCGGGCAATTGGAGGGTAGTAAGGGACAAACATGGGTGCGGCCGCCTTTTCAATTCTGCACATGGTTTCTGGCCGGGTAGACCATTTTAATACCGCGTTTTGATTGTGATTCACATCTAGTCCCCAGATGAAGACAGATGGTTTAGTCTTGCTTTGCCGAGGATGTGACGCTGCTTGATCTGTCATCATCCCCACGGAGTGCGCATTGCCTTGGCTTGCTGCTGGCTGCGTGCGAGCCTCAGACGAAGAGCAAGCTCATTCTTTTCCTATCTGTGCTGCACTCGAGGTGTGGTATGTCACGCTTGGGTACACCACTGCCGGCACCGGGCCGTACAACTCCGGGGCTGGGTGCTTAGCTTCTCAGCAAGTACAGGTGAAGCAGGGTTCATGCGGAACGTGCGCAGAGCAATGTGTAAGGCGTGCTTGTGTGTGGTCGGTCTTTGCATTGAGTTGACGGTTTCATAAAAGGCTGATGACTAGCGATGATTGAGCATGGTTGGAGCTTCTTGCGCAGGGCTGTGCCGCTTGGATTCGCCAGCCGAGGCCGCTTCTGTCATTGCACAGCCCGGCACGCATGGATCCAGCGGCTTTTGCATGGGCCTTGGTTTGCAGGGACCATTTCTGTGACAGTTGTTCCCCAGACTTGGTGATGGCGGTCCGTGGCGGTCCGTTCAGGTTCTAGGTTTTGCCAATCTCGGCTCTGCGCTGGTGGCGAGGGCATCCTCACAGCAATTTGCTCAGTTCGCGGTGCTGCTTGACACAACAGGCTTTTGCCAGCCGTACATGGAGTCTCTTGCAAATCCAGCCCCCTGTGAGTCGCGAAATCGGACGTTTGCGGCTGAGGCCCGAGTTGCTGCTTCTGACAAGAAGCCCTGTATAACTAGATGCGGCCCTTTTCATCCAAGGTGGGGGCTGGCAATGATGCGAGAGACAGCCAGAATTGCTTGCGCCAGGCAGCTGTCCTTTGGAATCAATTCCGCCGGCTCGTAGCCTCATCAGCTTTGGCTCGGCAACGCCAGCTTGTGGATTGGGGTGGCAGCGGCCTCAACATCACAGCAGTAACTTGCCGCTTGCAGACTGGAACAGATTTGGCGGCGCGGCCCGTTTGGGCAGTTCGGGCCGTTCGGCACCAAATGTTGCAAGGCCGGGACCGGCGTTGGCGGTGCCAGACCGGACCAGCCTGGATGCAGCAATCCCATTGAGGGCATGTGCACGTTCAGGCGGCACGCTGTCGACATGGGAGTTTCTTAACTTCGTTCCTGTCGGAACTGCAGTCTGACCGTATCAGGCGCGGCTGCAGCAGTGACAAATCTCGCCCAGCCCCATCCTTATTCTTGATTGCCCTACTTGGCACGTGCCAGCGTTGCCAGTCGCTTCACGTTCTGACACAGTCATGCTCGTAGGCCCGGCAGTTTCCTGGCACCCCGTAGTCCTGCACACCCAGGAGTTGATGTAAGACATGTTGGGGCTATTTGCGTGAATCAATTTCAATCCAGCCTGCCTTCATTGAATGCCATTTTCCTGCCTGCGCGCTTCATCAGGAGCTTTGACTTTCGTTTTGAGCGCGTCTCAAGCTGGCTCTTCTTTGCTGCCACGAGCGCAAGCAGCTCAGAGTTTCTATGATGGAGTCTAAGCCCAAAGATGGAAACACCATATCGTAAATTTGTGCACACAATGCTTGCAGTGGAGTGAAATTGCCAGGTGTGAGCAAGGGTGTCAGATGCACTAGATATTTGTCCATGCTCAGGGTGCACTACCCTGGCATATCTGCATCGGCCTTTGGACTCGTGCGTTCTGGATTGGCGCTACCCATTCCCAATAGTGCAAGGCCAGCAACTCAGATTCTGATGCCCTCCAAACATGTTTAGGTCCTGTTTTGGCCGTTGCATTTGCGCGCCCAAGTTCCGGAGTGCCACTCCTGCTGAAGATGTTTGCCCGAACCGGGGGCACACTTCTGGTCATGCACCCAGATCGCAAATTGGATTGTCATGTTGCTGAGTGACACAGACCAGTCGTGTGCAATGTTCCAGGCCTTGAGCGAAGCCTCCACTGAATCTTCCTTGGTGACTCGCGGATGTGCACGGCTTGGGTTTGCAGCCCAGATTCATACTTGACTGAACTGGTCCATGCTTGCCTGGGAGCTGCACAGTCTGAAGACTACGCCCCACAGGCCAGCCCCCCTGTTGCCCGGCTGCGCTCGACCGGACTTGCCTCTAGCAGCGCGTGCCTTACAGCGTCGGCATGAGATGCAGCACATTGTTGGCTTGCAACCGTCCAGTGTTTGTTGAAGGGTTCTTGATGTCCAGTAACAGCAGGGCCTTGTCCAAGCTTCTGCGCGTATCACGTTCTCCGGTCTAGCCAATTCGCACCATATCTCGAAACCTCAGCATGGCAAGGCACGACAAGTACTCAAATGTGCAAGATTGCACTGTACTTTCCCATGAGCTGCAACATCCGCGTAGACAGATCATGTTGCGTGGTGATTTGGAGCATGATGCTGGTTGCTATGCGAACGTTCCCAAGGTGCTTGACTCGGTGACCTTTGATACTTTACTGACCTCGCGAAGCCCTATTCGGCAACACGCTTAGAAAGCGGCACCCATTTGCTGTACTTTGACTGTCAGTGTTTGCCAGTCTGGAGCTCTCGATGCCGCTGCACAATGACGTTTGCACGAGCTCACCAGCGCTGGCACGAGGTCAGCGACCCAGAGCTTTTGTGCTCTCTGACGTTGAGAGTTGAGAGGATGCTCTGCAAAGGCACACACACACACACCGAATTGCCCTCCAGCTGAGGCGCAGCAAGATCAGAGTTGCTGATGTCTATCTGTGGTCTAATCCGCCTGGAGCTGCACTCCCAGTGTTTTTTGAGTGTTGCATTGTCTGCGAGTGACAAAGAGTGGCAAATTGATCCAACCACACGAGAAAAAGAAGAAGAATACATCCAGGCTCTTCCTGCCGGCTCCAGCACCTGCGAATGCGGAAGCAGCCTTACCGCCTGCGCCTTGCGACCACTGCGCTGAGCCAATCCTTCCCGCGATGGCCCTGTCGCAGGCCTCGGGGGTTGGCCCACGTGGGCCTGGCGCTGCTGGCACCAGCTCTTCCAAGCCCAGGCGAAACAAATGGACCGATATCGTGGTTGGTTTTTTGGCGCGATTTCACGGCGCAGGCCTGCCGTCACCGCTGAGGCAGAGTGGACTTGGCACTCACAGCAGAGTGGCAAGATACTGCAAGTGAGGTCTGCCTCTCAGCCTGGACTTTTGCCGCCCTCATGGGGCTGTGGTCAAGCAGATCCATCTCTGTTGGCATCAGACTATGCACATCCAAGCAGCTTGGCTGCAACTGCAAAGTTGTTTTTTCTTTTTTCTCGGAATTACTTTGTGATGTTGCACGGAAAGTGGCATGCTCGTGCCTGGAAAGGTCCCTCGCTTCCGCCGAGAGCCTTTTCATGTGCTGGCAGCACCTTGAGCGTGCTGGGGGGCGCTCGATCAGGGTCTGGCTCTCAGAACAGGTCTTACCCCAGAATCAGTTGGCAGCTGCAATGCCAGGCAGCTCTCTGTGCTTGGCTGTGCCCATTCGGAGCCCATTCTTTCTTTGCGCAGCTTTGCTCGCTGCGAACTCAGCGGCGATCTCCTCATCCTCCCGTTTTGCTCCGCCGGCGTGCCTAGGCCTCGGTCCGGTGCTGCTGGCATCAGATCACGGCCAACCCGGAGCTTCTCCGCTGATGCGAGGTGAATGACTTGGGTTGAGGTATTGCAGGCTGTGCCACTTTTTGTGTGGACCTGCAGCTTCTTTTTTGGCATTTGGGGGTTGATCAAAAGGTCCTTTACATGGGATGACCATTGGGGATAATCCACTAAATAAAGTGATATCTTCCACTAAATGGGAACGTTACCCATGGTCATTTGCGGGCCAGGAATATTGATCAACCCACATTTCACGATATGAATAAGCAACCTCGCGAGGTCTTGCTCACTCTGGTGCTAGCTCATCAGTCTTCGGACAGGCACAGATCGTGAATGAAGCGGAATCGAGTTGCTGGAAAGCTGGGAACGCATTTGCATTTGCACATCTTGCCCCTGGCGCCGTTTTAGCAACTTCAGGTACACTTCACTTACACCAACACCTACATCACCTCGGAGGTTTCAAGTACAAACCAACTCCAGTTCTACGTGCAGCACCCAGTTGATCAAAGAGATGCTGCCGTTGGCCGCTTCAAAAAACAACACAAGAGGTTGTGTCGAAATTCCTAGCAGCCTATGGTTTATTTGGGAAGGACATGGGGACTCACTAAATTTCCCATTCAAACTAGGGGACTCACTAGATTTCCCATGTTTTGCTAGGGGAACAAGTCATTTTGACTGTCTCACATGGCAACACATCCTCACAGATGTCAGACGCGGGCTGGAAACAATGGATTTCACAATTTGAAGAACGACTGTACGCGCTGAGACAATCTCAAATTGAAGCATTGACTGCGAGAAGGGTCTCAAGACAAGCAGTATCGTTTGCACAGAGCAATCTCAATAGTAACCTGGTGCCTCGCTCACGCATAACACCGGGACACACACGCACGTATTGTGGCCTGAATCGGGGATTGGCGCAAAACAAGAATGCTGCTCCATTTCTTGCATAGCTGCCGGCTTGTCTAGAGCCTCAAGGGCCATAAAGAAGATACTGTACCTGTAGATCACTGGCCCCACAGAGTCGTTAGGGTGACAATGACAAGACTACACGAGGAGTACGCTGAACCCACGCTTGACACACACACACACACATGTGCAGACATGCATATTCGTATCTATATATAGCATATACACAATCATGTGTTCACGTGCCACCCCCGAATTTTGGATGAGTGTAGGTACATACATGTGCGTCTAGAGCCCTGAAGAGCTCCAGCTAGGCCTACCGCGGTACCCGCGTTTGATGTCGGTCTGCGTATATTGCTATCATTGTCGTTATGATTGTCATTTTTATCATCCTCTTGATGATATTTATCATAGTTACCCCTACTATTGTCGTTGTTGTTGTTGTTGTTGCTGCTGCTGCTGCTGCTGCTGCTGCTGCTGCTGTTGTTGTTGTTGTTGTTGTTGTTGTTGTTGTTGTTGTTGTTGTTGTTGTTGTTGTTGTTGTTGTTGTTGTTGTTGTTGTTGTTGTTGTTGTTGTTGTTGTTGTTGTTGTTGTTGTTGCAGCTGTGTTTTGGCATTGTCATTATGAATATATTCGTTCTCGTCAAGATGTTTTTTTTTCTTATTCACATCGATATCATCGTTGTTATTCGTATTCTACTTGATCGTTATATATATTTTGTTAGTTATTATCAGCATTACTCTTTTCATTAGTGCTATGCCTTGTTTGTCGCTATGCTCACCATTGATGCTATTCCTGTAATTATCATGCCTATTGCCAATTGCTAGAATTGTTATCCTTATTGTCAAGCTCACTGGAAAGATCTCCGAGCTTGTGCTACCAGCCATGGTCACACCCGGAAGACCTTGATAGGCGGCTTTTTGGTGTCAAGATAGCACGACCCTGTGTAAGCCAGCAAAACCATGAGGGTCCAGAACAAGCTCTGCAGCCAGCCCGCGAGCTCCGGATGGAACCGCAGCGATGCAACTATATAGATATACATCGATTTCTACATTTGAGGAGCAGAAGTAGTAAGTTACGCTGAAAGGAAATCGCTCTTGCGAGTGGAGTGCAAGGCAAGTATGCTTACGAAATGTCGATGGTTCTTCATCATGTAGTACATACATCCTACTCACCACTGTACCTCCCCCGTGCTCCCCACACCTACACCACAGCCTGGGACAACTAGTGTCAGCATGTTCACTGTCCCGAGCATCGTGAAGACGAGACACTTAATGGACACACCTAGGACATGCATTCATTGGCAGTTTATGCCCGGTCGCGGATGCTCGTTGCAGAGAAGTGGCAGCTAAGGTCAACAACCAGCGCGCGCTGTCGCTGCTTCAGAAGCCCACAGGGGCAACGACGGGGAACGTCGGCGGTGCTCTTCATGGTCTTTGGCAACTTGGCGCGTTGAATCCTCCAGCCGTGCTCCGAATCTGAGCAGCTCAGGTATTCAGATCATATGCTCCACATTTCGGACAAGCGCCTCAAGACGAGCATCCGCTCTCTGGTCGGCCTGTCAAGCAATGTCCATGGGCATCTTTGCATTACGAGCACTCAGGCGGACGACTTGAATGAAAAGGCGCAAGCCGCAGGCCCATGCGATTCCATCCTTCATGAGGCGAATATAAATTTTGTCAGGAGTTGAAGGCGAAGGGCAGGGCGTGGCCGCGCCCTTACGCTTTGAGTGGGTCCAGTCGAGCCACAGAGCTGAAGGCTTGGCTTCTTCGGGAACTGCGGCCTGTATCATATTACTTTAAGCCAGACACCTCAGCTTCGACTTTCCATCCCGAATTGACTTAATCGACTTTCAGCGTTGATTCCATTTTGATAACACATGCAGAGGCGGGATGTGGAAGCCAAAAAGCAGCGCTTTGGCTTTATCGCCGACGAACTGGCAGAGACGCTGCCCGAGGCAGGAGTTTGTCAGACATGAGCCGAGAGTAGCCGAGCGTCAAGTGTGAGCCTTGTGCAGGTCGTGCAAGAGTCATCGGATGAGAAGAAGATCAAAGGCATCGCATACCAGGTGTCTCAGCCAATCATGCACTGCTTAGCCGAATGTGCATTGTGACAAGGATCTGATTGCCATCATGGTGGTCGGCATGCAGTCTGTAGCTTACATCACATGGTTCTCCGACTTGTGACACCCCACGCCTGCAACTTGCGTGCCTTGCTGACTTGTTTACGACAGTTCTATTGAATCAGGTCCTTGAATACGCGGGTCAACGATTCGGATGACTTTGCAAAGATCTTGATGACCCGGCACCTGGCTTGGTCATTTGGGGGCGCCGACAATTTGAGCACTCGTTGCCGAGGCTCAACACTCTTGAGCAGAGCTTTGCAATGCTGCAGGCCGTGTTAATACTGGTGAGCAGCTCACATCCAACGTGTGTTGGCTGACGGCGTGCAATGGTGTTTTCTCACAGATTAATCTTGGACTGCGTGCTGCTTCAAAAGGAACTTTTCTCAGAGATTCGGCTCAACTTCCCATTCAGCATTCCTGCGATGCAGGAGAACGTCATCAAGAGACTTGGCGATCTGGAGGCACATTTGGAGAAGCCCGCGTATCTTCCATCCGTGACATCCTGAAGAGGTGCAAATTGGAACAACGGAGCAGAGGAGGGGCTGTGACCTCGGATGAACACCACATCATCACCATCATCTACTCTTGTCAAATTGGGGTGAAATTGGGCACAGCAAGTTCCCCTATCTCAGTTGGGGGAGCTTCCCCATCGGCAGATGTACAACCCAGGTGCCAACGATGCCACCCTGCTCTGAGTGCGACTTTCGGCAAACAGCCGGCACTCATGGAGCATGATATGAAGTTGAAGGAGGACGGGTGCGGTGTTTCGGTCATTTGATCCAGTAGTGAGCATGGTGCATCATCTCTCAGGACAAGCACTTGCTCAGAGACGAGGTAGGGACTTCTTGCTAGTGCTGACAACCACAGCCCGTTGCCTAGGAGATGAAGCAAATGTGATCGCCCAGTCGGCACCTTGAAGCCGTTTGAACACTTGGTAGGCAGACGAGCCGTTGCTCGAAGCGCGCGGATCCTGCCTTTTGGGGCCACAAACCAAGAGGTGAGATGGCGGTCAAATTGCCAGTGTTTCAGACTTAGCTCACAGATGTTCACTATGCGCCATGAGATGGATAAACTCTTTGATACGCTTCTGTGGACTTTTGCAAAGTGGGCAGTGATCACAACCATTGGAGTCAGGTGCGCTACGACCCGCCTGCCCGGGACAACGAGGACGAACTAGGCGCACGGCGCTTTCCCTCTCGCGGGTTGCCTGTTTTTTGCCGCGAATGGCGCACCTGGCCAGGAAATGGGCTCGCGGAGGCTCGGCTCGCCCCAAGTTGTTGACTGGGAGTGAAGCTGCTTTGAGGCTCGCTCCGTACGAGACGCTTGAGGTCAGACTGGAGTCCAAAAAATGGAGAGGAGAGCTCAGCTCGCCAGAAGCGTCGCGAATGAGCGTGCCAGGTTGGAGAGAACCCTCCAGGTGCTGAGCGATGAGCTGTAAGATGCGAGCGCTAAACAAAAAGCTCGGGCTGCATGCGAGTCAGATGTCGGCCTCTGCATGCGGGGCTTTCGGGGAGCTTTTGGCGTGCAGGCATTCGGCCTTTTATTCCCCACGTGGTGTGCGAACCCATGCGAGTGCCCCAGCTTCTGCAAGAGGCATTCTGAGTGCCCGTGCAAGTCCTTGAGAGACTTGGTTTGTAATCAGCTTCTACACATTTGGGTGTAGTTTTTCTTGGGGTGAGTTGGATTTCCTTCAGGTTTGCTTTTAAAACCACCAAACATGGGATATCCTCAAAACCACATCCCCACTTGGTTTGTAACTTGCTTTGATGCATTTGCAGTGCCTGCGAATTGTGACAGAGGTGACTCAAATGCGTAGCAGTCCTGCCAAGGCTTGGTCTCCACCTGCCCCATGCAGACAGGCGCAGGCGCATGCGTGGCCAGCTCTGGCTAAGCGGCATGTGCCAGTGAGGGTCGAAGGAAGCAAGAGGCAGTAACTCTTGTGCCAGCCTGGTGTGCTTGAAAGGTCTGCATTCTTGCAGGCATGTGTCGGCTCCTAGTCAATAGCAATATGCTGAAATTTTAAAATTTATCCAAGATAAGCAGCTCAGCGCAGGATGCTGCCATGGAGCGGAGCGAATGCTATGCTGACGAAGTGACAGCCGAGACATGCGGAGCGCTCCAAAACGCCAAGCGGGTTTTGGGAGCAGCTGATATTCTGGAAGCACCCCCTGATTGGGCCGAAGTTCCACGTGGCCGGGATTTATTTGTACCTGGTTGGGGTGGATTTGACGTTGCAGAGGCCTGGAAAGCCTGTGGCAAGCAAATTCCAAGCGTGGCTGAGCTTCGCAGCTATGGATATCTGGCAAAATACTTTCCTAGTGTCGACGACATGAGTCGAATGCGGCTTCTGAAAGTGCTGCATTCGCCTCACAGCTTGCTTGCCAGATACGTGGTGCAACAGCGCTCATTCTGGTGTGAAGCCGGTCGCTTGAACAGGCTCGACGAAGTGGAGGCGTATTGGCTTGACTTCCGCGTTTCCAATCCCTCGAGAGCATTGAAGGAAGAGCCCAAGCGCCTCCTGAATCGCCTGGCCCGCGATCGTGCAGTTGCGGAGCATCCACTCATTCACTTCCAGCACTTGTCTGGACAGCCCTCTGCTTTGTTCAATGAGGCGCGCCTGCTGTCAAGGGACGAACAAGAGGAGAGTGCCTCGTTTGAGCTCTCGGTACTGGAAGACTCTCATAGTATTGTGCGAGCTGCGCAAGAGTTAAACAACTGTGCAGCAGATTATATTCGAGACGTGCGCCAGAAGAGGTGTGCACTTGTTGTGTTGCGGTCTCAGAAGAAACTGCTTGCTATGGGCGAGTGGGATTTGCACGACCAGCGCTGGTCTCAAATCTCGGAGCATAGCGATGAGCCTGTTCGTAGCGAATGGCTCTACATGTATGAGCAGATGGAGGGCGAAGGCCTTTACCCAGTGAAAGCAGTGCTTCTCCTTCCAGAGGTCTCGGATGCCAAGCATTTTCCAGAGGCAGGGGAGGACAAAGTTTCCATTTTCAGTTCTGGTGGAGAAAGTTGCTTGGAGCGCATGTGCAACGACACCATGTTTGGCTTGGAGCCCTGCCTGGGATGGTCTGAGATGCTGGGAGAGGTGACTCATGCAGAGGCCGCCTCAGCACTACTCTTGTGGACGAGCGTGAGCCCACTCTCCAGCGAGTGCGAGCTGAATGTGCACGCCGTTGCCCGAGCTCTTCTCTGCTGCCGGGCAGACCCAGATGTTATGACCGACTGCGGCTGGACGTCTTTGATGTTTGCCGTGATGGGCCAGCAGCAGTCGCTCGTGGCCCAACTCTTGGAGGCAGCAGCCGATGTGGACGCACGGAGTGCTCAGAGCGGGCGCACCGCCTTGATGTTGGCCGCTAGCATCGGCAACATGGGCCTGGTGTGCAGATTGGTCACTGCGTCAGCGGCCTTGGACTCCGCCGCCCGCATTGACGGACGCACTGCGCTGCTTCTGGCAGTCGGGGCCTTAGCATAGCAGCTTGCACCCTCTTTTCGAGTTATGTAGTACACAAGCATGAAGTGTCGCTTGTAGAAACAACTTTACGAATGGCGTGCCGCACCTGTTGCCACTTCATGCAGAAATTGACAAAATGCAGGAATGAAAAGATGAACATGCATCTTGGAACAAGTCAGCTGCAAGGGCGCGAGGAAGAGCGGACATCAAGCAGACATATTTTACGAGGTCATATCACGGCAGCATTGCAAGGATTCGGCCCATGTCATCCCAAGAGCGAGTCAGAAAGCAAAGCACCCAGCCATATTTCCCTTTAAACTCGGGAGCACCAACCTTGATGTTGGGGTATACAAGAGGGGTGTAAAACCAATGCTCTGAATGTAAGCAGGCATTGGTTCGGTGCGGTCAGCGCCGCTTGGCGCCATGCAATGGCCTGGAAATGGGGCAGCCTTGGGCTCATGTTGGCGACGCTCGGTGCTAACTTGAAGCGATGGATGTTGACTTGAATGAGTTGCGCTTGGGATTGACATTGGTCCTGGATGGACGATCGAAATCGACACATTGGATCTGGGGCGGAATGGCTTTGCTTGAGGCAGAATTCGATCACCCCAATCGTCTTTCGCTACGTGCGGGCCTTGTGCCAGACTCATAGAGCCGCAGTGACGACGGCCCCAGGCTACGACTGGGGCCAAGGCAGAGGATCGCTTTGGCACGGCGGTGGCTATTGGCTGCCAGGACAGGACTTTTTCACTGAACTTACATAGGGCTTGCAGCCTTTGACTGTTGCGCAACTTTCTTCTGATGCTGAGGGACTAAAAGCAGGAAGCGCTGAAGCTTGTCCTGTCGTTTGCCTTGGTCATCATGGAGTCTAAGAGCATCCCGCATGCGCTGGCCGCTGTGCGTGGAGTCCATCCTGGAGACTCCGTCAAGCTTGCGGTTCCGGCCGTGCTATTTGTGCTCCAAAATGCTGCTGCCGCCCCAGTCAGCCTGCTGACTGGTACGCATGGAATGCGCCTTCTTCAGCTAAACGCCGTTGATTGAGGCTATGCAGCTGGCCACGGTGCACCTGCCAGCTGCACTCTTCCAAGTCATGTGGCAGGGTAAGACGTCACGTAGCATCAATGGATTGCTAGTGTGGGACGCACATCGGAATTTGCAAGAGCAGATGCCTTTCTGACTCACCAGGCTTGTGATGGCAGCCCTGTCAGTTTTGTTGCTGGACAAGCGACTGGTGCGGTCTGCGTGGCTAGCGATTGCGCTTATGGCAGCTGCTTGGAGGCATCAACTTGTCGCAAGGAGGGGATCAGGTCGCTGAGTTGAGACCTCCAAGGTCGGCATTGGCGTTGTCCAGCTGTCGCAAAGCAAGGACTCCACGCGAAGTCGCCGGCATTCTCTTCATAGTGAAATCCTTTTGGCCTTTTTGTGCCAGGAGGGTAAGCAGGCCTCCATGGCCAATGCAGCTGAGCAGAGACCAGCTCTAGGCGGGCAATAGCTACGACCCAAGCTTTGTGCGCGCCTAGTGGCTCCGTAGTTTTTTTTGCAGTGAGAGACCTTGGTGCGCAGGTCTCTTCTTTGTTGTCGTGGGCTGCTTGTGCTCTGGCTTTGCTGCTGCCTGGCTCTGTAGTGTCGAAGGAACAGCACTGCCATGCCATCAGCTGAGGCTATTTACCTGGAAAAGCTGGTGAAGCAAACGGGCAAGACACAGAGAACTTCCATGTGGGTGCAGAATATGCAGCTGGCTGCGAGACTGATGTCAACTGCCCCTTTTCAGTTGCTTTGTTGTCTTTTCTGCTTGCAAGCCCAGCAGCACAAGGCTTTTTACTCGTTGGTGCTGACGGGCATCACCACCCTGTCATCCAGAGCGGCCAAAGCGGACGGCTCTGCTGTTGGTATATTTCACGGCTTCTCCTTCAGTGCCTCTCGGCTCCGTGGCCATAGCTTTTCTCTACAAGTTTCTCTGCGATGCCTATGTCAGCCTAGGTGTGGGTCATGATACTAAACAATGCGATTGGCGCACGCCTCAATCCTTGGCTAAAGCAAGATGCGCTTTTTCTTGGAATTCTCAGGAGGGCTGCTAGTGGCCCTGGTCATCAAGCATGCAGACAATATTCTCCGCGGGTTTGCAACCGCACTTGCATCCTGTCTAATGTGTTGCCTGGGATACATGATGCAGAGTCCAAAGTAGGTCCGTTCCCATTGTCTCATGCATTGGCTGTGGCGAGGCAACTGTTTTGACCACGCCACTTGTCATCCAGACCGTATTTCACATGCCGCAGCATGCTGGTGCAATCTATTTTTAGTTTCTAACATTCCAAGGATCGGGTCTATCATTTGCTTTGGCTTTGAGATCCACTTCACGTTTTTCCTTGGGAGCACCCTCGTGGTTGGAAGCTCTTTGCTGTATGGAGGCGGGCAAGATGTGTACCTGCTTGCTCTTGCATGTCTATTTCAGGCCGTGCTTGCTGTTTGATTTGTTTGGAAGTTGCCGCCGTGCTCAGGTGCTGTCAAGATGTCTGGCGAGTGGTGGAATGCGGATCCATGCAAATGAGAGGGGGTGCCATGGCCAACCGTCGCGCAAAGCTCGCCACTTGGCTGAGTGCTAAACCGGCTACGCCTATCAAAACTGAAAGCAGTGCTGGGCCTGAGGCGATCCTTCTTGGTTCAGGCCGCGTCGTGGCAGTTGCCTGTGGCGTTAGCGGGAAAAAGGCGCGAGGCTGTAAAGCGGCAAGTGCTGAGGTGCACCTTTGACTCGGTGTCCATATTCTTTATGCACCATTTGCTTCTCTTGCTTCTCTTGCTTCTTTTGCTTCTTTGGCGCTTCTTTGGCGCTTCTTTGGCGCTTCTTTGGCGCTTCTTTGGCTTGGCTCATTTTGCAAATGAGGTAGAAGCTGGTGCTTGGGGAATTGCCGAGTTTCTGCTGCAGGCAGTTTCGCTTTCTGCCACAGATCAGCCTCGATGCATGCAGGCAGAGGCGGATGTCAATGCTCCTCGCTTCGATGGCAAGACGGTGGTCATGCTTTCCGTGCTGCCCATCTGGATTGAGAGCACGACCTGTTCCTCGTATGGCTCAAATGTGACCACTGCTTAGCAAGTTGCCTGTTCGCAGCCAGGTGGAGGCCAATCAGATGGACCTCATGAAGCAGCTTGTTCATCGAAGAGCAGACCTCAATGCAAAGGAGCGGCAACGATGTTTCGACAAGAGATGACGCTGTTGGACAAGAACCACTCCATGTGACAGGCTGATGGTGGATTGACCGTGATCTCGCTCGCCATGGAGACGAAGCGACACCTCCTCAGGTGTAGTCAAGAGAAGCTTACAATGTTCTCTTGGCTGGCAGAACACTTTGAATTCGCAAGGTATGCCGGGCCTGAAGGAAATCTTGCAGACCCTTGCAAATGGCCAATGCGACTTGAATGTGTGGGAGCCTGAGGTGGGTGTGCAAGCTCAGGAGGTCTTGAGAACTCACCCATGCTGCGCCAAGCATGCGGCTGTTGAGAACATGGTTAGAATCCATCGAGGTCATGCCCAGGAAAGCATCCAGCATCAGCACTGGCGCTCGCAGCTTCAGCTGGCAACATGGAGGCCGTCAATCTTGGCGGTTTTCAGCTGTCGTGCTTGTGTTCAATCTTCTTCTATCTTGGCCTCCTGGAATCTCAACTTGTTTTTGCTTTGCCTTGTCAGGTAGTGGAGCTGTTGCTGCAGTGCCGGGCGTCGGTGCATGGCGGTGACAGTCGCGACATATGCATCGGCCCTTTGGATGCAGCCTCGCGTTCAGAGAAATGGGCTGCTGTGAGACGCTTGGTGGAGCTTCAAGCAGACCCCAACACGGGCAAGAGTGTGCTGATCCAGGCAGTGAAGTCGGGTGAACAGGACTTGGTGGACTTTCTTTGCAGCAACGGTGCTTCTACCAACGCAATGGATGAGCACATGAGCGCATCAACGGCAGCAGCAGCCGCAAATCACCCCGGCGTCCTCAAGATCCTTGCCGCGGCTCGCGCGGATCTGGACCGTGAAGCATGGTTCTCAAGGAATGAGAAATGGAATGACCCCTCTAAGAGCCTCTAAACCTTCAGAGAATGGTTTCAGACTTTCAGGGAATCCCCCCAAAACTGCAAAACTGCTTCATTCCCAACACCCGGACTCGGAAGGATGCCTCCCCAGCGCTGGGCTCGACCCTCAGAATGTCCGACGTGGACCCCAGCGCTGGGGTTCTGCTCTTGCGTCATGAGAGGTTCGAAGCAATCGGGGCATTGGTTCTACGTGCCGACATTGCAGGCCTTCCTCCATTGCTGGTGGCTGCTCAGGCCAAAAGGCGAGGTGAGTGCTGAGATTTGCCTTTGACCCAGCCACGATCTTGCCTTGCTTCTTTTTCTTCATTCATTGTGACATGAATGAGTCACGAGACACAGTTGAAGAGATGCAGCCAATAGCAATTATGATCGAAGGCGAATCAACACAAGCTAGCTTTTTTTGAACCTCGTGTCTTGCGTCTGAATCGACATTTTGATCGTTAGCTCAAGCACAGCTTCCACTCCCTTCACGCTCGAACCTTCAGATTTTGCTGGGGGACGTCGTTTCTTGGTCCAAAGACTGATGTGCAAACACGTGACACGCTCGTGGTTCGCGAGAGGTGGGCCGCCTTTCATCAACTCGTGGAGCTACGCGCGACTCTGAGCAGGGCGCGCCTACACCCCGACACATCCCTCTGATTCTTGCTGTTTATCTGTGATGTCGCTGCTTCTTGTTGAAAGACAAGCAGAATCAGAGAACAGACAAGCTTGCACATGTGGCATCAACTTCCCTCAATTGGGTCTCTGGCAAGGGTTGCTGTTGGGGAGAGCACCTGGGCTTAGGCTTCTTGAGTGCAGAAAAACGATCGCAATCCCGCAATGAGTGGGCAAGACCTAGGGATTGCACCATTGGAAGAAAGGCCCTGAGCCCTGACCTATCTTTTTGTTTCACCAGAAACCCCAAATGTCAGACAGTTCAATGACGGGAGGGGGGGGGACATGAAATTAGATCTAAGGGCATGACAGGGTCGAACTTGTATGCCCATGTCACGGAAGCTTGGCGAGCTTAGTGTAGGTGCCCAGGTATGTTGCATGGTTCCGGCACCGTAGTAGCCGTCAGATTCTTCATGAGTGTCTCAAATGACACCGTCACTCAAGGAGCGCACATAGAAGTTCGTGACAGCGAGCTGCGAACTGCCTTGATCATTGCAGCAAGTCACGGCCACAGCCTGAGCTGCATTCGCATGTCACGCGCGCCGACACGTCGGCGCTGGGGGAAAACAACAGGGCCCCTTGCATTTTGTGTCGGGGACGTGAAGATGCTGGAGGTAAAATCGATGTGACCAGTGTCAACGAGAGACAAGAAGCAAGATTCATGCTGGTTGCTTCTCCGGATGCCATGACCATCGCCAGGCAACGCCAAGGCTGTCTCCGGCCTGGTTGAACAGCGAGCCGAGTCCTAGCCTCAGACTAGGCCGATTTTGCTGATGGCAAGCGGGAAAATTCAAGCGGGCAATATTTGTTTCGCACAAATGTGTTCTCGTACTAATTTTCATCTAAGACCAGCCAGATGTTCGATTTGTTCTGACAGGCTGGAGGCTCGCAGCAAATCGGGGCAGACGGCCTTGCTTGCAGCAGCACGACAGCAGAGCTGGATGGTGGTGTGCCGTGCTCAGTTGAGTTGTCGTGTATCTCCATCTCCTTACGAACAAGTTGTGTGAGTGTGCGTGTGTGTGTGTGTGTGGATTGCGAGCGGATGAGGCGGAGACTTGCTGAAGTGCGCGCTGACCTTGACGCACCTGAGATGCAAGAACTACTGGTTGCTACACGTGGCAAGGCAAACCAAGTTGCAATGCTAAGGCAGTGGAAACTGCAAATGCGAAACCGGTAATTCTTCATCTAGCAGAAACTTCTCAGCCGAACCCTCAGACTGAGAGTCACTGCTTCACAGCAGGATCGGTTGATGGAGTCAGTGACCCCTTCGTTTAGGTGGGACACCCTCATCCACTTTGCCCGGCATGGCTCAAACCTCGAGGCGGATCCATTCGTGACGATCGCACGAGGTGAAGCGTAGATTTTGGAAGAATTGTGAGCCTGGGATCAAATGGGCCTGTGTTTTTTTTGAGGGTACCCTTCTTTGTGGTTTTAAAGGGAAACCAAAAGACATCATTTTGGAGGGTCACGTAAAAATGAGAGCTAGATGGGATGGAGAGCTGAAATGTACCGCAGTGAGGTGCGAGGCCAGGCAGGCCGAACGGTGCTCATGTATGCCGCGGAGTGTGGCTTGGACGACGTCGCGTGGTCGCCGGCCTCAGCGCAGCGCGAAATTTTCGATGCGTCACGTCAACTCGAAACGCACGAGGTGGTTGCTGAAATGCCCCGGATCTCAGATGTGGGGGCTGCGCGTCTTGTTTCTGCGCGCAGCCCAGGCCAAGCTGATCCGAACGCAGAAGACGATAAGGACAGGTGTTTGACACGTAAGGCAGTAAGGAAGCAGAATCACCATGATCACCGCAGTATTGTTGGTAGGGCGAGACAGCCTTGCTCAAAGCATGCAATCGCGAGCCTTGATCTCAGACAGCTCCGTCATCGTACAGCCTTGATGTCTTTGTCACAAAGGCTTGAAGGCTTCATGCGCATTCTTTGGGAGGGTGGCGCTCACATAGAGTTCGCGCCTTAGTTTTTGAAATCGCACAGCATGCTGGCACTTTGCAAGTAAGGACAGCAGCGAAGCAGTCTCGAATACCGGCGATTCTTGGTGTGAGTTAAGTTCCAACAGCAGCCCTATTGTTCTGGCCTGTGGTACATGTTGGCCAACGCAGAGAGGAGTGTGCCTTGACTTCGACAATTCAGTGTGCCACCAGGATGTCCAAGCTGTTACGACGCTGGAGTGGTGATGATGAGGATGATTGAATCATGCAGGCCCGATTCACCACCGAGTTTGACGCTCTTGGGTCAAGCTGCCCCTCAGCAGCGCTTGGATCATGCGCACATTTCTTTAATAGGTGCTGCGGAAATAGCTGGATCATTGCGATGCATGGGATGCACGATGTCGATACTCTCTACTCACTTTCTCTCTTTCTTTTGCTCTTTGTCTTGTCTTCCTCTTCTTGTTTTCTCCTTATTCTTCTCTTCTCATTCTTTGACTTGTTCCTTTCTCTTTCCTTCGGATGCCTGGAGGGTTGGGGGTTGCTAGGGTCAACAGGAAGCGCACACACACACACACACACCACCGGGTGCACAGCGCTCGAAGCATTCAATGGTCCATGGGCTTGGGCCTTCTGAGTCTTTTCAGAGGCGATCCCTTTCGATTCCTCCCAGGTCAAAGCGCACGGGCCAGATTCAAAGTCCACTCAAAATCTGCGGATCGCGAGAGACTGCCAAGCGAGATCTCGTTCAAAGCTAGCGTGCGTGTAAGGGCTATTGGCTAGAAAATCATAGGTTTGACTTTTATGCTTCTTTGGGTCAGGTGATCGCATCTTTGTGAGAGTTGCGCAAACATAACCAATTCGGCATTTGGAACAAAACGAGGGCAACAACACAGCAACCGTCAACCTTCTTTGAGCCGCTTCTTTGCAACGCGGGGTCGGATTTGGCTGAGAGAGAGAGGGCGTAAAACAGATCGACACGCAGGAGAAAGAGGAAGAGGAAAGCCAGCAACGAATCAGTGACGACTCAGGCCCAAACTTCAGGGAGCTTTCTCTGGTGTGTGCGCATGTTCCATTCTGCGCTAGGAAGTAACCTTTAGCTGGGACCATTTGCTTTCATTTAGGAAGGCATGTTCCGTTGCTTGCCGGGAACAGTTTTGTTGGCCACCCGTTCACATTCTGACAGCAACACCGGCAGTCTTTCCTCTAGCTGATGCACGGACATGCACGCGCGGCACTTGCTTCACGCGTCGGTGAACTTGTGTAGACTATTTGTGCAGCAAATGAGGTGATCCCGGCGGTCTTGCACGAAGAGCCGAGGACTTTTGCATGATTCGCAGCATTGCCTTCACCAGCTGCTTCGTTTCACGGGAAGAGGAGCGTGAGGAGCTTTACCAATTCCAGCGGAGACTACAGCTTTGTCTGCCTTCCAGCAACTTGAAGCAGATTTGGTGGATATCTGACCCGGGCCCGACGTCAACTTTGACAACATGCTTCATTTCTACCTGGATGGACACCTCGGATGGTTTTCCGAGTGTGTGCCAGAGTGATGTTGCTCGTTGTGGCATCCAAGTTTGCTGATATATGCCGCGGAGTCGGAAAAAATGTGGCAAAACGTGCTGGTGCTCGGTACCTTCCGGGGAAGGAACCGGTTTTGGGGATTTCCTTAAAGGAAGCGACCCGAATCGAATGAATTTTTCTCCTCATGGCTCATGCGCGCAACGGCCAAGAACCGATCGGGCCAGGGACTGGTCGTTCGGCTCGAGTAACTCGAAACTCGGAGCCAGGGACTGGTTTCGCCGGGCTCACCCCCCAGGCACGTGGCACATGTGAGAGTCAGGACTTGTACCGGTGTGTCGTTTTGAGGGCACCCCATGTTTGGGGGGTTTTGGAAGGGACACCAAAAGGAAAGCCATCTTTTTTGGGGGTCCCCCAAAATACAAGACACACCGCTGTTGTTGCAGGTCATTAGCCACTGCCCCTAGCTCCAGGCTCGGGTGCCGAATTGAAAGCCGAGTTTTCTCAGAACCGGCGTCAGGGCACCCTCTCCGCCGAGAGCTCCTGTACGCGGGTCGCCCATGGGCCAGCCTGACGCCCAAAGCGGATATTTTTAGAGCTTCTACTTCCTGGTTTGAGAGGAACGAAAGTGACCCCGGTGTGAACCAAAAGCAACACTACATGGGCTTAGGGATCAACTGCCCTTGTGCCATTGTGCGGGGTGCAGTCATGCAGACCTGATTCGTGGCGATGAACTGCATTGGGAAAGATTTCATGGCTGAGGCCAATTGGATCAACTGCTCAGGCCAGCCATTTGGGAAGCAGCGACCCTACATTCCTCATAGGAAGCAAACCTTTTGAGCCAACTTGGTTGCTTGGAGGTCATTTGGATTTCAATCAAGGCGGTGAGTGCGAGCTCAACGCCCCCTTTGTTTTTGCAGGTTCCAAAGCTGTCCACTTTGGCTGGCCTGGCCAATCTGCATGGACGCTCGCCTACTCGGACTTCAGGCTTGCAGACCCGGTGAATGCCAAAAAAATGAGTTGGCAAAGCGGAGAATCCTCTTGGAAGATCAGCGGCGAGAGGGAAAACCATGAAGCGATCAGGTTGCAAGGGCCTCGCATTCGCAAGGTGCTCTGAGTCCAGCCCGACCACAGGTGCCCGTTTCTTAACATGTGACGTTTGGAGATTGTATTGACGGCAAGTCTCAGCTAAGTTGGCATCGGAGCGAACTTGTTTAAAGGCCAATGCATGGTTTTCCACCATGTTTTGAAGCCGTGTGCACAGCGACTGGGGGGGGCCACATTTTAAGGGACGTCCTGAGCCAGTCAATGCGAGCCACTGGGCGGCAAGAGATTCAAACAGCCACTCAGAACCATTTGCGACGGATTGTATGACCAAGGTGGTGTCACCAGTCGGAGCCTGAGGTTTTGGTAGGAAGCTGGCCTGGCAAGGCTTCAAAACCTCAGGTTTTGGAAGCTTCGCGCTATGGGTGCGCCAAGTGGGTGGGTCTCTTTTTGAAGGGTACCCATTTTTGGTGGGGTTTTGGACGGGACACCATTTTGGGGGGGTCCCTTAAAACAAGACAAAACCAAGCCAAGAAGGATTGTGACGATTGTGACTTAACCACATGAGCTCGGCCTTTGCCTGTGCCTGAGCGGTACTTGCAAGGTACCCTGGACGAGGCAGTGATCCCCTTAGTCGGACCGTGTCCGTCCGGAGGCAGGAAACACAGCTGCAACATGTGGAGGGGAAGTGAATGATTCTATGGACTGTGAGGGCGCAATCTCCGGAGAATGTCAGCGTTCGTGCTACTTCGCCGACGCGCATTGCGATTGCCCCTTTCGTGATTGGTCCGCAGGCCACTTGCAGCTTTTGTGTCAGCATGCTATCGTACAGACATCTATGGCATGCAGGCAAAAGCGATGATTTACCACCCAGTGAAGTGCAGCAGCTCAGATTCTGCCAATGTGTGTTGGAGAAAGACTGACGTGTTTGCTCCAAGGCAATCACTTCTGTCCCATGCGGCAGGACAAAGGCTTGGCAAAGATGCAGTGAATTGCTTTGTCAGACTATCTGCTGGCATGTGCGTGCGCCCAAAACAGCATGTCAGGTTTCCTGCATCTACTGGTGCGAGCTTGGTCGCTCTTGCTGGATTGTTTTAGAGCAGGGAAGGGGGTGCTTCAGTCCCATTCACCTGAGACTGGAGGGGTGAAATCACGCGCTTCGGGCGCCAGCCTTGCGGACGAAAGCTTGTCAGCGCAACCGAAGCGCATGGCCTTGAATTTCAACAGGGAGCCGTGGTTAGTGGACATCACTCCCCGCCCAAATGATGGTCCACCAAAGTCACCAAAGGGTCCGGAACCCAGTACAAATCACACCCACATTGGGGGAGAAACATCCTTTGCATTCGCTTCTAAAGCCGTCACCCCCGCTGTGAACTTCGAACCGCCAGATTGTTCTGTCAAGGAGCGGCACCAAACTGTATTTCGACTGCTACACTTTTGCTGAAGCGTTCGAAGTTTTGAGCTTAATTTGTTAAAGCGTGCTTCGCAGCCGATTACAAAGCACAGCATCGGAAATGAGATGAATTTCATGTCCCAACGAAGCAAAGCAAATGCCAATGAGGTCTGAACATCTAGAAACACAACCCCCGAGTTGCAGGATGTTCATTGCCTTTGTTCCGAAGGCCCCAGAGAGCCCGTCGGTGGGCAGCTTGTCGTGCCAGGTCCCGTCGCGGAGAAGCTTCGTTGTCTCATCGTCATGTCCTCGGCGCGGAGAAGCTCACTCGATGCATTCACGAGCTGCTCCAGAAAACCCGCACGTAGACAATGGTGACATGGCTGTGGGTCCAAATCGTTTTGGTGCCGTTTTGGGGTAGGTGCACCACCCATTTTAGTTTTTTTTAGATTGGGATGTTTCACTGAGGGTACGATTTGAAAAGCGCACAGCCACATAGCAAGATTTGGCACGTTCTGCAAGGCCGCCCAGCAAGTTCAGAACTGCGCTCTGAGCAGTTGCCCTGCGGGCCAATTCCTAAGTGCTGAGAGCACTTGCATTCACTTGGGGCCTCCGCGACCGAAAGCTGTTGCGCGTGTAACATAGAATGGGGCTTGCAAGATTCGGGGCTCTTGCGCTGAGGGAGGAAAATGGCAGTGGGGCTCACTGGCACAGGGATCCACATGGTACATCCCGTTTTAACACCACGCTGCCCATACGTTGTTTGCTCAAGTGTTAGTTTGATAAATCTCAGTCACAGCAATGCCAGCTTAGAAAGACGTTTGCATTGATTGATGTTGTCTACTGTTCCACAAATGACCGCATGATATTTGTGCTGAAGTGATTCAGCCTGCAGCCCTACTCTGGCAATGCGTCATATGTGGCATTTTGTCATACATTTTCCCAGATTGTGTGGAAGCCAGCTTTTGAGCCAGGCTGGACAACATGTCAAGTTGCAGCTCTTGCAGAAATGGTGTGCAATTGAGACTTATGATGGTGCTAGTTGCACTTGCGTTGCTTATACTGCTTGTGGTGCCTGTTGTGCTTTGCAGCATCAATAGTTGAATTGCTTCGGTGTTTCCGCAGAGCGCTGCCCAGGTTTCCCGTCTTTGCACATGTGACGCGTTGCCGTTGTGTGTAGGCATAGTATATCATATTATGTACACATTCACGCCAATATGTATTTATATATATATATATAAACACAACATATATATATATATCTGTATGTGCACACACATATATATATATATATATACATATTAATATATATATATATATATGTATATATGGGATGCCCCCCGCTATAGCCAAGGACCCCAGGCAATGACAGTTCACGTAGGTTTCATTGGGTCTATTCCCAAAATGCTGAGACACGTCGCAACGCATCTGGGATAGAAGAAACGGGCCTTGAGCCAAATGGCTAAGGTATGTGGGTAGGTCAATTGCAGAACAAACAACAGACACACATTTCTCTTATCTTTGTATTGGACCGTAGCCGCGCATTTTGCCGTATTCATTTGTCGAAATCTGCTATGATACGTAGGTAGCTAATTCTACCTAAAGTACTGGTTGCGAAAGGAGACACGTTGTATGGTGTCTTCGGCTGTGACAAACGGATGTCCTACCTCGCTCTCAGAAAGCGGCAAGACATCACATCGAAGTGGCATCTCATGTTGGCTCTATCGTGATGCCTTCGGTTGTATCTCCATGGAGTTGAGTCATATATGAATCATATCTGGTGTCATTGCTCAAGGGAGCAGTGAGGTGGTTGTTGTTGCGCGTTCTTCAGTTGCATCTGTAGGTTTTCCAGTTGCCTTGGTAATACCTTTCGGTAATCTGAACATTGGCTGTAGTCCAATGTTGGTCACCTGGATAGGAGTATCGAGAGTCTTCGCTGATTTGTTCTTGGAGGCTTGGGACTCTTCCTGCAACTCTTTGACCACCAGCGGGTAATGCCAATCCTTGTCGTGTTTTCCATTCAGCATCTCGTTGGTACAGAACTGAATGCGCTCGGCGGATGATATCCTGCTGTCACGAATGATCCTCATTTTGTCCAGGAATGCTCTGCGTTCTTCGGAGCCCAAGTTGTGTTTTGCCTCTCTCTTCTTCAATTGTGCAAAGGTCTTCTTCATCCAGTGGAAGACATAGGTCTGCATGCAGTCAGGATAAGTCTTCTTGCTTTCCGATACTTACATCGAGCCATGTCATTGAGTGTTGCTGTTGATTCAACGCTGATGTCAAGTCCGAATACAGGTGGCCATTGTTGTCGCATGACCCCTTGAAACAGACCTTAAGATCTTCAAGGAGTTCGTTCATAAGTCCCACCGCTGGATGACATGTCTCTTGAGACAGATACTGTGAGTTGGCGGTCCAGTTGAAATCGCTGTCACGATGTCGCATTAGCGTTGATACATGCAAATCATAGGAAATCCGGCATGAGTTTTGTCAACCTGGAGAACGACAACTGTTGCTACTGGAAGACCCTCTCCGTGGCTTGTAATCATACATGCACACACGCATGTGTATATATATATATACACATACACACACACACGTACATACGTACATGCATGCATGCATACATACATGCATGCATGCATACATACATACATGCAACCATACAACCATACATGCATACATGCATCCATACACACGCATGCATACATGCATCCATGCATACATCTCTCCATCCATCCATTCCTCCATCCATCCACCTATCCATCCATCCGTCCGTCCGTCCGCCCGTCCTTCCATCCATCCATTCATCCAAAGATACATACATACATGCATGCAATGCATGCATACATACGTACATACGTACGGACATACGTACATACATACGTACATACATACGTACATACACACATACACACGTACATCCATACATGCCCGCATGATGCATGCATGTGTACATACACATGCATCCACCTATTTATCCTTTTATCTCCATCCCTCCATTCCTCCATCCATCCACCTATCCATCCATCCATCCATCCATCCATCCATCCATCCATCCATCCATCCATCCATACATACATACATACATACATACATACATACATGCATCAATACAACCAACTTGATGCGTCTATTTCTCTCAACTGAGAAACACGCGGTCGGATTTTGTGCCAGGCGTGCGATGTCCGACGCCGACGCAGTGCAGACGCTGGCGACGCGCCTGAAGAAGGCACCAGCCACAGAGTTTGCACAAGACAGCAATGTGCGAGTGAGCGTGTTCTGTTTTTTCGGCATAATAGTCAGATTTATGCTGTTGCCACATTGCGAGAGAGGTCCTGACCTTGATAGCAGTTCTAGCTCATGGATGTGGATGCCTTTTCAGCCGGCAGGTGATTCACCTTCCTTTGGAGTACGATGCGTTTGACTCAGTTGGACCATCAGTGCCAGAAGCCCCATGACACGTGCTTGACTTTAACCATGGTGCCCGTCGTCAGGTTTTGTTCACCGAGAGTGAGGCAGAGCTTGTTTGTTTATATTGCCTTTTTCGGCGAGGCAGTGAATGCAGCGCTGAAGCAAATGACGTGTCAGGTGCAAGTGCACAGTGCCCCATTCGGACAAGTGGCGGGAAGGCCAGGCTAGAAAAGTTCAGTCCAATTGAAATTCTCCCCACCTGCCTGTCCCCGGAAAATCACCTGGTCACGCCCTGGCCATGCTCTGGCCATGCCCTGGCCATGCCCTGGCCATGCCCTCATCCGGGCAACACTCAACCATTTGGCAACCACCCGCGGCCGAGAACAGTGACCTCTCGCACACGTACTTCATCTCCTGCCGGTAGTCACAACACGCGTCCTGCATCCTGCGTTACGTCTTGAGACCGGTTCTGTGACATGCAACTCGGACATCTACAAAACGTGCCACTCGACAGACCACCACAAGCCAAGGCAAGCCCTCCCCGCTTGCCCTTTCTGTCCCCTTGCATCGCTCCGTTTGTCCCTCCCTTGTCAGGCTGCCCTCCAGGTAAGCCGTTCACAACTTGGTCAACATGCTTCCCCTCTTGCAAAGGATTCGGAGCGCGAAGCAAGGGTTTTTGCCTGTCGGCAGGCTCTCTGCTGGAACAGTCCAGGGCTATCCCGCAGGCACGACGCGACTCATCCAGGCAAGCTTTCAAGCTTGCCTCACTGAGGGACCACATTGGATTGAGCTGTGTTGGGACTCCTTGGCGCGGGTTCTTCCAGCTGCGAATGGACAGGTGAGTGGCTGCACCTAACCGGGCAGGAAGTCTCGCGGCTGAAGGCTCGTGTTCGAAGCCTTGAGTTGATTTCCCCTGGTTGCTCTTGTGCTGCTGCGAATATAAACGCAACTTGGGACACGGGTGTGTCGCTTATCGAGGGTGCAACCCGTTGGGTGTGGTTTTACAGGGAAGCCAAAGGAGAGTCACCTACCATTTACGGGGCTTCCCCATGAAAGTTCATGCGTTGGTTGCCAATTCGACAGGGCCAAGGCCTGCTGGAGGGCGACTTCCAAGATGGCTGGGCCTGGAGCTTGGAGATGCAATCAAAACCGAATTGGGTAAGTGAAGGAAGTGAAGGTTACTAAGGGACAGTCCGAGCCATAAATAGTTGCGGCCAGTCCGCCTTCTTAAGTCTTGAAGCATGGTTCTGGGTGGAGCACCCTCATACCAGTTTTTGAATGTGACTCAGATGATCTGCTCTCGCAATTTGCGTGCATGAGGTGCAGCTAGCGCCCAGTGTCTGGATCTTGGGATTTCAACGGGCGACTGATCCGTTCAACATTTCTGTCAAGACACAAATTGCGACCAGGTCGCAAAGTTGATGCCTCGTTGGCTGCTTAGAGCTACAATTCTGACAAAACAACTGAGACATACTGCCACTCAGAACCTGTACACACACATATCGCCATGCAATCTCTTGATTCATTGATGGGCAACTTCTATCATTCAGCACCTCAATCATCTTCAGCTAAGGTTGGGCGCAGATTGATGTGGAGATGGTCTTTCTGGAGGTGCCGATGTGGAAGTCGTCTCTCGGCCGTGCGCTTTGAGAAAAGGCACTGGACCTCTCGTGGGCTGGGCTCGTTGGGGAGTTTGTCACCTACAGCGTGCAGTGGAGGCGGCGCTCTGCGATGCCTCTTCGGACGTAAGTCGAGCAACTTGATAGTAACTATGTTGATGTGGGTTTAGAAGACACGCTGTGCAAGAGGGGGGTTCAGGAAAAGCCAATTTTCGCCGACTGGATGTTGGTCTGTGTCTGCGAAGGAAGCCGTCTCACTTCAGGGAATTGACAGCAGGGGAGGAGCAGCGAGTCTGACATATTTTTTTACATGTTTGTCGTCCAGGCTGGAAGGCGAGAGCGAGCCGAGTTGCGCTGAGCGCACAGAGGCGATGGCTTTGACGAGTGTTCAAGCCGCCGACATCACAATGCATCTATGGATCTGTATGGATGGTTTAAGGCAGCGTCGACTAGACGCTCCAACGTGGATACTTGACATTTTGAACAATACAACAAATTACAGCCTGAAAAGCCTTGACTGAATGCTTCTCTCATGACTCACAAGTGGAAAACATGCTTGTTTGATGACATGCTCCTGTCCAATCCTTATCCTGGCACTGCTTTGATAACCCAGACCAAGGTGAAGTAGCCTTTCGCAGCTGGATAGAATTCCCAGAATCCTGCGCAAGTGTTTTTGTGAACGCGACGTGGGTCCAGGCTTTAGACAATTGCACATGAGTGCACTCCAAATGGTGGATGCTTAGTGAGTGAGTTCTTTTCACCGAAGCTTCACCCAATTAGGGTACTTGGCTCGCATGTTGTGCCCACAAACTAGTTCTTGAACCATACTTTTCATGACGTTTGCGCGCACGAGTTGCGAATTTTGAGCTGGAGCAACCGAGGACGTATTACATACTATGTACTTGACATCAATATTTTGATGTGCAAGCTGGTGCTGCTGGAGTGGAGCAGCAAAGCAAGAGTATCGAGTCTTTAAAGGTCGAACAGCCTCAGAAGATCCACCTTTCGAAGGCTACGAAGCTGTGCGCGTACCGAGACAGTGAAGAACTGTGCTGCGCCAGCCTTCAACATAGCCTTTGTGATCGCTCTTGCTTGTTCTTGCTCTCGCGGTAGCAGTACATCTCTCTCGCTTGTCTTTTTTCTACTATTTCGCATCTATCATCTTGCTCGTTATACAAGTTTTGCGTGGCGTAAGTTTCTTTGATCGTTGTCCCAGTGCGGATGAGCAAGCAAACTGACTGCACAATTCAATTCGGTGCCTTCCTCCAAACTCTGGGTATGCCCGGCCACAGATTCAGGAAGGAATTTTCGATTCGGTGTTGTTCAAGAGACGCCATGTCTACTTTACTTGTCGCGAAGCTATCTGGCCCGAGCTCAAAAGGAGTCAACAGAGGAATGTCGCGCATCATGCGATTCCCCCTTCGGGGTGTGCAAGGAAGGTCTTTCGGCATGGGGCGCAGTGCATCTCAGCCTGATGTGGTTATTGGTGCAGGCGTTATCGGGATGTACACTGCCTACAGCTTGGCCAAACGTGGGCGACATGTTGTTGTCTTGGACCAGGCGCAGGGGGCTGCTACAGGTTCCAGTTTGATCAACGGAACCTTGATCTGCCCCTCTTTGATGCTTCCTTGGACCGGACCTCAAATGATTCCAAAGCTCTTGAAGTCCTTTGTTCAGCGAGGCCATCCGTTGAAAGTGCACCCCAAAGTCCTCGCCCAGCCAGAGCTGTACTACTTCGGCTTGCATTATTTGGCATCCTGCCGTCCAGGCCAGGACAGGCTCAGCACTCGTCGTTTAGCCAACCTGGCCAGCTATTCGCGAAACTGCATGCAAGAGCTCTTCCAGCTACATCCGGAGCTGGATGCACACATGGACCGAGCAGCGTTGGGAACACTTCAGATCTTCGATAGCAAAGACTCGGCGCAGGCTTGCTTGGAAGCGTCGAGGGAGATCCAGCACGCCGGGGTGCCGCTTCGCATGTTTGCGCCTGAAGATGGTGACGTGCCCAAAGAGCTGGTGGTGAGACTCAAAGAGCTCGGCCTTGAGGCCTTGTACCTGTATTCTCCATTGGACACAAATGGCGACTGTCACAAGTTCACCACTTTTCTGGAACGGGAATGCAGGAAGATGGGTGTTGGCTTTCGGTACGGAGCGCAGGTGGAGGCTTTTGAGCAGAATGCTGCCTGGAATGTGGTGTTGCATGGGCAGCCAGCCATTCTTGCCAGCAATGTGATACTTTGCGCAGGGATTGACAGTCCTCGATTGGCCGCTTTGCTGGGCTTGAGGCTACCTATGGTTCCGGTCAAGGGATACGCTATCACAGTACCACTCAAGCCTGGAGTGAGCCAACTTTCATCGAATGTAGTGCAAGACTCCAAGAAGTTGTACTTGGCCCCGGTGGGAAGAAACTTGATACGCATCACCGGCTGTGCAGAGTTCGCAGGACTTGACAAGTCTGTTGACTTGAACCGTGCATCCATCCTCACTCAGCAAGCCGACAAGCTATTGCCAAACTGTGGCTTGGCAAATTATTGGACTTAGCTTGGCGCCTCCCTTTCCATGTGTCTCACTGAAAGCATGCGGCTGTGGGTCAAAATTAGGGTAACCCCAAAATGGGTCGCCCTTGTACATGGAAACATGCTTTCTAAACCCCGTGGTGCTCTGGTGTATTTTTTTGACCCCCTACCCACCGATCCGAGCGGAGGGTGAAGAGCTCCGAGGCCTCGACTTCAGCAAGGCCGAGTACCATGCTGGTCTGCGGCCGCTCAGCGCGGACGATGTGCCCATCATGGGGCAGTGCAAACCCAACTTCTATCTGAACACAGGCCATGGATCCAAAGGCGCCTTCCGTTTCGTTTATGAAGGACATGTTTCGATTTGCCGACGACTGTGTTTTTGACTGCAGATTGTTCCTTGAACCAGAATAAGAAGCGCAGGTGCTGTCATGAAGATACCTGAGGTGGCATTGAAGCCCTTTTGACTTTGATGTTGGATGCCCGTGGGTGAATCGAACAAATCTGTTGTGAACATTTGGAAGACGAATCACCATCGCTGCCTTGCATTTTTTGCTTCAAGACTTACGCTGCCTACATGGTGGATTGCAGTTTGTCAGCTGCAAACACAGGGAGGAGCAACTGAGGGAGAAACATGAAGTATATAAGCATCCTGCACATGTGTGAAGAGGTATCCTGTATTAAAAGCTGGCATGTGCGCAGCCTTGGTAGAGTTTAGATTCCAAGGCTTAGATATGATGAAATCATTCGAACTTTACACACCCTCAGCTACAGAGGGTCTAACATGAACGATGAGGTGGTATGGACGTTCGATCAGATTTGCCAGATCTCCCCAATTCGAACACGTCTCTGTCCATGCATTGTGCAAAACTCTTTGAATCGCGTTTAGACGTTTCGGGATCGAAGATTGAAGATCGAGGATTCTCAGGACTGTGGCCGACTCTTCAGTCAATATTATAGTGCCCAAAAAACGCGTTGAAGGGTGTCCTTCAGATAGCTTCTTGTTTGAAGATTCAAAACACGTTCTTTCTTCTTTCTTGCGGGAGCGGGAGTACCATGTATGTGTCTATATACATAGTTCACATATACATTAACAGTAACATGCGTATTTATGCACACCCTTCAGTCGTATTTGGCGCGCGTTCTTCAGGCAACGAACCGAAAAATCTCAAGAATGACGAACACCAAGTCAGCGTGAAAAGCACCTCAAGGACATATATATATACATATATATATATATAGATAAACATCTGAGTTTTCAATTCTTCAGTTTCGCACAAATCTTGTTCTTTGTTGTTTTCATTGTTTTTGCAAGTTTTGAATGTTCGCGAAGTTCTTGGATGTTTGCGCAGCTTGCACTTTGCATTGGTTTGAGTTTTGAATTTTTGTGATATTGTTGGATCTTCGCGCTTTTCACACACTGTTCGAGTCTTTGCGACAGCGATTATTATTTCAGTTTGTGCCATTTTTTTTTTGCGGGCTGCTGCATGTTTCCGGCGGAAACCACGACACTTGAACAAATACCACACTAGTCTCTTTCCGCGTAAATACGTGCACCCTATTGATACGGCCAGCCCCTGAGGTTTGCCTGCGCCCCGAACCAACGCCCCGACACAAAAACCCAAACCTAAACCCAAAAAACCATAAATCTAAACCCTAAAACCCTAAACCTCAACCCTAAAAACCAGAAACCTAAACCCTAAACACCCTAAACCTAAACCTTACAACCCTAAGCCTAACCTTACCCTAAATTCCCTAAACCTAAACCCTAAAAACCCTAAACCTAAACCCTAAAACCCTAAACCGAAACCCTAAAAACACCCAAACCTGCTTGCAGAAACCTAAGCCCTAAAAACCTAAACCCTAAAAACCCTAAACCTAAACCCTAAAAACCCCCAGACCTTCCTGCTACCCACGCCTGGTGGTACCACGGCCCCACGTTCTGAAGAGAACGCAGGTCACCACGTGTCAGGTATGGCCGCACGAGTTGTGCTACTTGAGTAGTAAAGGGTGCCATACTTGAACCACGTGCTGGACAAGGGTGGATTAGGGGGTGCCGGCAAACCACGGGGGCTGTGGGTATTAATAGTATCAGATATCTTTTTTCCCCTGAACTAGAATTAGCCGGTCTAAACCAATTCCAAAATCCTAGATTTGCCGTCGACTCGGGCTGCAGTCGCATGAGGGGTCATTTGACTAGACAATGCACATCCAATCTAAAGCAACTCTGGCAGGAAGCAAACATATTGAAAAGGGTGATGGTTTGAAGAACAATATGCTTGCTGCAGACACATCCCAGCGCAATCCGTCTTCACGCCTGCCCTTGCGTGCTCCACCCTATCAAAACGATGTCCTGCGAGAGTTTGTCGCGCAGCCGCCCTCTTCCCTTTCAACCCACTTTCCTGTGTGTCTTGCTGTCTCTGCAGGGCACTGTTCTAGGTTTACCGCGAACAGCTATGAAGCATCATTGCTGCCTGGCTGGTTTCTCAGCAGGGGGCTTACAACCCATTCGCGCCGCCCATGTAGCCATAGCCTGGCTTTCCAAACCCAGGAAGGTCCGGAGATTGAAACAGCTTCGATATCCCATCATGACATCATCCTGTCGGCTGCCGTTGCATCCTCCTTGCTTCTTCTCTCTCTCTTGACTTTGCAAGCAAGCGACACCTCTTGCAATGCCCGTCCTCTTGTGTTGCAGCTTTCTAGCCGCCCTCTAGCTGCATTTTGCAGCTGTCACTACTTCCAGCTGATGAGCAGGGTAGTCGACCGACAGATGCACACTCAGTTCACACCGGGAGGGAAAACAACAGCACTCCCAAAATGAAACAAGCAAAAGTCCCACATCAAATCCAGTCCCCTGCTCTAAGCAACGCTTTTCTGCCTGAGCAAAGCCACATGACCCAAGGATTGCAGTAGCATCCCCTAACGCGCAAATGCACTCTATGATTGAATATTGTTTGGCGTGTATGTTTCTTTTTGGGCGGGGGCCTATTTGTTGCTAGCGGGAATAGATTGGATATACGACAATAAGAACACACCAAAAGCAATAAATCTCAAATCAGCAGATTAACATATAGATGTTTCAGTTTTCGAGTTTTCACGATTCACCAACGCATGTGTATGTGGCACATGCCCATTGCCCTGGTTTCTAAATGAACGTAGAGCCTCAGAAGCCCAGATGGCAGGTTGGACCCATGCAGCGGGGAGCGGGGAGCTGATTGCAGATCTGGTGACTGGAACTCCTCAGCTGGATCCTGCGAGCTACAGCCTGGACCGCTTCTTCCAGCTGCGGCACAGGGATGCACCCTACAAGTTCACGCTGGCCGCAAGCTGAAGCAAATCACACTTGGCTGCGGTGGCCAAGGAAACCACATGATCTCTCGCTGGATGAAGGCTAGCTGGCAAAGCCAGATAGCCAGTATGTTAGGTAGACTCAGTGAGGATGGACGGGAACCGTTTGTTGTTTAGGGGAGATCAGGCACAGCGCATCACTGTTTCTTGTGTCGCCGTGCTGGCATTTTCCAGGCAAAGAGAGATTTGCTTGACCAGCTCAGTTGGACTGCCATGCAGACGGAGCAATCCAAGCAGCCCTTACGTGCTCATTTCAAGGGGGTAGGCCTTTGTTACTGCGTGAATTGGAGGAGATGCAACAGATCTGCTTTTGAAGCTGCTGGTCAAGCTGTTTTTTGCCAACAGTGCGAAGACTTGCGGGCTTGCGCAGTGCTGCGTGATTAGCAACTTTAAAGAGCCACAGCCGCACGTGCCGATGTGAATCGTGTCAAGCGGGAACTATGGAGCTTCGGCGGCTGTCCTCGGCAAGAGAGCATGCTTGAGATGCTTGGCTTGAGGCGGGATCCCAGGCAGCTCAAAAGGAGGCCACGACTTGCTTTTTGAGGGCTCCAAACCCAAGTTGTGAGCAAGCCATCGTCAGGATGCAAGGAGCGGCACGCTGGAGTCTGGCCCCAAGGGATTCATAGGTTCTCATGTCACAGGCTTCAAGCTGAATGCGTTGCGGTTGCAAAGACATGAAACAAAGGCGGGGAAGTTGCTGCTCAGGTGCACATCATCCCGAGCATTGCTGCACGGCCTTCCGCCTTCGACAGAAATCGAGGCTAGTTGCACCTTTTTGTTGGCGGACCCGTGTGAAGACGGCAGGTGCGAGTTGTTGCGGCCGTGACGGGTCCGGAGATCGATTTCAATGAGTTGGAGATCATTGGCTCTTGGACCGATTGCACGGGTGTGAGCAAGAGGCCATCAAACAGAATGCAAGCGATTGTCAGGTTGTCGCCTGGGAACGAACAAATCCGTATCTACTGAATGCAACTGTTTTCATGAAATAACAGCTTACTTGATGCGCTGACTCGTCAACTGACGCCACGCCTGTCTGAACGCCTTTACTCACCTATCTTGAATTCGTCGGCATCAATGCAGAATCATCCCCGCAGGACAAAAATCTCCACCGGATCAGCTTTACCATCCGAGGATGTGGAGGTGCTGCATTCCTGAGGAGTAGTCTACAGTCCTTGTGGGAGGGACAAGGAGGACTGACTAAATTTCCCTTGCGAGCAAGGAGACTCACTTGTCTTCCCATGTCCTTTTGGGGAAGCAAGTAGACATGGCGTTTGCCCGCCAATTTATTGCCTTGCGCCTGCTGGATGTTTGCAGGTTCTCGGAGACCGGGATCTCTTGGGAGGAATCGCAGTTGCGCGTGCGTGCTAGACATGACAAGGGGATATTTGCATGTCCCTTCAGCCTGAAGGATATCGTGGCGGCTGCCTCCTTTCGTCCTGCCGAGGACGCTTTACGGTGAAGCTACCTGTGGCAGAGTCACTGTTGGTTTCAGGCTACCTTTCTGCTTCCCTGCACTCCTCGCATGCAGAGCGATGCCGTCGTTGCGGCTGCTCGTATGAGGAGTTGCTGCGTGTTTGTGCGTTTGACGGGAGCATGGCTTCAAGCTTTTTGCGTCGTCAGGAGCACATCGAACTAGAAGGAGAACCAATAAAGGAGATGGATGTGGCTAGCTTAAGCGCTGCTAGTTGAGATCTACATCCCTTTGGCTGCCAGCTTCCCAAGGAGCCTTTTGCAAAGGAGCAAGATGCTGCGACAGTAGAAGGCTAGCATTTCACATGCTGCTTTTCCTGCTTTTCTTTACAGCCAGCACAGTGCATACCTTTCAGGTGGAGCAACGGAGCCTCCTGAGGCAGGAGCACTGAGGGATTTGTGTTTCGCTTCAGCTGTGTCTCAGGACACGGCTGATCTCGATGCCCAAGACTTATCAAGTGATCGATTGAATGCGCTTCATAGCGCTGTCCCAAGGATATTGGGAGCTCGGATGATGGGTTCGGTGAAGCGGAGGACCGGTTTGACGGGCTGGCAGAGGTTCTGTACCAAGAGTTTGGTAGGACGGAGCGAGAGTCCATGACCCAGCAAGTCTCGCGTGTATTTGCGCAGAACTCCTGCATTGAGGCTGATGACAGCCTTGAAGCTGACGCCAGCTTTGAGGCTGATGCTAGCCAGGCTGATGCAAACCTCGAGGCGCCAGTGGAATCCCTTTCAAAACGAGGTCTGAATATTTTGAAAAAAAAGAGCGACAGGAGAAGGACGAAGATGCCTGGGAAGACTTTCTGAAAGCAGAAGAAGGCTTGGGAGATGGGAGTTGCATGCGCTCCACATGTGATCGACCGCTTCCACTCGCTTGCTTCAGGCGAGGCTGAGGAAGCTCCGGTCCAGGCATTGGGATAAATCTGCAGGGAGTCCAAGCGCGATCCCTGGCAGGTGGAGCCTGGCCTGCCCTCAGGAGCCGCATGAAACAAGTGACTGGCTACGCAAAAAAAAGTGTCGGGCCCCAACCCGTTGATGCCTCACACTAGCTTCATAACACGTACGGCTTTCAGCAAATCAAAGTAGGTTGTGTGCTGTCATTGTCGCTCACACATGCCATCGCATTAGGCTTTGCTTGGCCTGTTGAAAGCCTTTGGCTTGCGAATAGTAGATTTGGTCAACAGACCTGCTTACTGGGGTTAGTAGACAAGATCGTGGACATGTTAGTAGGGATTTTAGACAACCATCGTAAGTCTTTCTATTGAGAACATGACGGTGGCTCACGCAAGGAGTTTTGATCTTCTTTTTTTTCTTCCCCAGATTGCTCCACAGGGCCAATTGCGCTCTGCGTATGTGACAGGCAACTGTCGTATAGTCTTTGATGTCTTTGGTGAATCTTTAGTAGGCCAGTGTGGCCTCAGATGACCTTGATCACTGGCACCGCGCTGCCAGCAAAGCTTGCCAGATTGGCTATAAGCATAGTGTAGTTAGTTGATTGCGCAGTGCAGCAAATCATTGAATCTGAAATTGCCCTTGTTGCTGACAAGCCATGTGGGGCCGCCTTGCTAATTTCTGCCAGATTGTTAAAAGCAGCGTCTTCTTATAGATAAAAGCTGCAATTTGCATAAGCTTGCTTTTAAACTGCCCCTTGGTAATTGTCAAGGCAGCCTACGCAACACTTGTGGGTACGCAAACTAGGGTACCTTGCACTGATCCGCGCAGGGACTGGTTTTCTTTCGCGCTGGTACAGGACACGCTAGCAGCGAGATGGCCTCAGGGAGCATCTTGGATTGGATGTGAGTTTTGTTGGAAATCCAATAGGCTGTTAGGGGCATACCATAGGCTGGTTTGACACATATTGGTACCCTTTGTTCGGATAGTTTGATTTGATTTTGCGGTGAGGTTGAATTCCAGGCCGGTGTTTTGACTCGGTTCTGTGATGTCAGGTCAGCAAGCTCTCAATCCAAGCGATGCCCATGAGGATGTTTGCGTTTCGGATGAATCCAACAAGGAGAGCGTGACTGCGCAGGAGGAGGTTGAACACATTGAGAATTCAATACTACATGCCCAGAGCATGCTGGAAGACGCCATTGAGTATCAGGTATTGGCAGCAACTCCCACATATTGTAAGCCGTCTCAGCTTGAAGCGGAAGAGTCCCAGCTTCTTGAAGGTGAAACCGTCGCTGGTTTCCCCGCTCTGAGTCATTGGATAAAGCTGCAACCATCGGAGGGTGACTTGGACTTTGTGTCGCACTGGGTTTTCCAGCGCCCCTTAGAACCAACACTTCAAGCCAAGTGGTGCGAGATCCAAGTTCTCAGACGGAAATCTGGCGTGCTACATGTGCGGTGGAAGGGGCTGATTACGCGGAGGCCATGCTTTACGCTCTACTGCCTCGAGTGGAAGAGTGGCTCTAGCCAGGGATGTGGCTTGACTCTTATGCCTGCGCCTTGTTTGCAGAGAGATGCAGCCTGACCGGGACCCAACAAAATCCATGGGTGTGGCTCCAAAAATAAACAGCTATGGTACCGCAGGTTTTAGTCTTTGCTTCCATTTGCCAAGCTGCCATTTTGGTACGTTTATTTGAGCCACAGCCAAATCCCCGCGTTTGCTTGTAAGGAATGCACTGTGGCGATCAGCAAGCATGAGGATGCGAAGTTCAGGGTCAGTGCGGGGCCTCAGAAAATCGCACAGAAATCCCTGGTAGTTGATGACTGAGTTTGCCTCTGTGTATGAGTAGAGACCGCTGCTTGTGTTTCGCATGTATGGCAGGGCTCGCGTAGGTCGCATGGGTTGCGAAGACCAGCATGTACGTAGTGGCCTGCTATTTTAAGCGCACGGCAAAGCATCTCTGTGCAGAGTAGGAAAGGGAGAAGGGCAAACAGGCAGTCAGATTGATTGAATCCGTGATGGAAGGAGAGCTATAACACGCGTGCACTTTGATAGCCGACGTAATTCCCTCCCCAGACTTTGCTCTTCTGACAACAAACGGTCCATTGCAGCCTTGCTACTATCTTGCCGCATTCAGGTGCCTATTTGAATGGAGAGGACACGATTGAAGTCTTGGGCAGCTGGCAAGAGTGCAGTTTCCAAGAAGAGCCGGAAGACGAGCAGCAAGCAGACGTCTCAGAAGAGGTGGAAGACATACAACCGATGGATGCAGAAGGCGAAGCAGTTGTTTCTCAAGAGTCGGAACAATTGAACTCTGAAGTGAAGGATGCTGCCAGCGCTGCAAGCCGTACAGATGCTGGCGACCTCAAGACGGGTACATCTGTTTCAGCCGAGCTTTTTGATTTCACAGACTTGGATTCTGCTGATACAGTCGACACAGTGGCTGCGGCTGCTGCACCCTCGCCTGAACCAGTTGCGCCTTCCACAATTCTACCCTCTGAGGAGGCTTGCACGCCTGCGCCATACCTGAGTATGCCACCTCCATCCGTCGGCTCTGGCCCTGAAAAAGCCGAGTACGAAGTGGTGCACAAGGCTGGCGTATTGGTGCGCTCTGCTCCAAGCCGAGACGCACGGGTTTGTGGGCGCCTGTCGTTCTCAGATCGCGTGTCTGGGCTTCGGACAGGTGCCTCAGGTCTATGGCTGGAGGTCACCTGGAAAGGGACCACCGCCTGGGTCCTTGTAGATGGCGCGGAGCTTGGCCTTGGGACGCTACTCCGTCCGGTCGAGAAGGACTCACCTGAGAAGCCCCGAGAAGTCAAAGAAGTCAAAGAAGTCAAGGCCAAGACAGCATCTGTGGCGGGCTCAAGGCACGCAGCTAGTCTTGCGCAGCGGCTTGTGAGCGAACCACTGGAATACGTGGTGCTGAAGCCCGTGAAGCTCTACGGAGAACCAAAACCAGCAGAGTCTCAAGGCGAGCTTCAAGTGGGGGAGTCAGTGCAAGGCTATCCTGGAAGCATGTCCTGGATACGCTTGGCAAGGGCTTCGGAGACCTGGGCTCCCACGAAATTTGGCAAGGACACGTGCCTCGTCCCCACGTGGTCGAAGTTGAAGGCTGAGAACGTGTACAGCGAAGCGCTCGAGGTCAGCTGGCAGGGCCTCACCGCGCGCAGTCCCTACGTTGCGGCCTACAGCGTGGAGTGGCGGATCACGCCTGGCGAGGAGCTGCCAATTGGAGCTGCGGGCCAAGATTTCAAGAAGGCGGGCTACTCCCTGAGTCTCAAGCCCAGTGCAGAGCTCAGCTGTGAGCATTGCAATGAGCACCGTTGAAACCGCGTCAAACAATCTATGAAGAGAGGCTAACATTCAAGATTGCATGGAGTCTTTAAGCAGATATCAGAGATCCACCACTTTCGCATTGACATACGCCGATCTTGAAGATGCCCCGTGCTGGGCGTAACAAACCTTAGAAGGGCATCGGACTGCAGCGATTGCTTGCATCAGCACATGCAACCAAGGAGTGATTTTGCATGGCCTGCCACCGGGCGCTGCTGTTCAACTTCGGGCTGGGGTACGAGTGGCCTCCCAGAAGGAAGGTGAAGCAGATTTCCGGCTGCTGGGGCTCTGGCAGGACTTCACCACCGGGAGCCCGCTTCCGCAGGAGGAGGAGAGAGAAGCCGCCCGACGGATGGACCCCTTTGGAGCGGTTCGGGGCCGGTGTGAAAGCAGTCAGTGCCGCGGATATGTCTCCGACCCAGAAGCCCTGGCATCGCTGGGGCTGAACGCGAACTCTTTGGTTACCAAGGCAATTTGCGTGCGATGTGGCAAGCCCTTTGAAGCACATGAGCGTGTCAATGCGTCCTCAAAGATCGTTGCAGCCGAAGCTCCAGCACCAGCCCAGTTTCAGCCGCCCATTGAACATGACAACATTCTCAGAACCTACGTCGCCATGGGCTCAGCCATTCAGATTTGCGGATTGCTGCATGTCAAGATTCCTCTCTAGCAGGTATCTAGATGCCTTCTGCAGTTTGGAGTCAAGTTTTTGGTGCACAAACGACTATCAGATTGAGCCAAACCAATTGGCAGGACTTGTAGCTCTTCTTTGCTTTGACACCAGGTTCCCAGATTTGGGTGGCTGGTTCAAGTCGAAGAGTGAAGAACGGGGGGGAGGGGCAACTCGCGACACACGTCGCTTCAGGTTGTTCATCCCATGGTCTTCGTTCGAGACAGGGCCTCCGTGAAGGGCAGGTGCGCCCTATGCTCTTTTTTTTTTTTGCAACGTGCAGAACCAAAAGCGTGGGTGGCTCGTGATCTTGTTTGGTGGTTTTGAATGAACACCGCAAGGACGGCCACCCTAAAATCAGACACGCCCTTGTGACAGGAGTTGGGCAGAGTCGTCTTGCCAGAAGTGTGATGCTAGGACTTTGGGAGCAATGAGGCAGGGCGACCGCGTTCAGGGCTGGCCTATGTCAGGCAGGGCTGATTTGGGCTGATGCACTTTTACAATCGCACCTTGAATTTGTTGTGTGGGTGTGGCTCAAAATTAAACAGGAGGGGCAAACCGCAGGTTTTGGTCCATGTTTCCTCTTACCAGGGTTCCGTTTTGGAATTCCGGTTTTTTGAGCCACAGCCATGTAGGTACTCCATGGGCGTGCGTTCCTTTGCAAGGCTGGCTGCGGCTCAGCCCCGACTGCGCCTTTGCAATCGCCCATGACAAGCAGGACTATCCGTGCAACTCCAACAGTAACTGTGGAGACTTTTGCCAGCTGTACCACAGCGCCGGTAGACATTTTGAGGCTCAGTTCCTCCGTTTTGGGCTGCTGGGAATATTGCAAACTCCCAATCATCCTGGTCAACCTTGAGACAGGATGCCTGGATTCTAATCCATGGTGCAGAAGTTGGGTGGGAGCCTTAACTTGATGGTGACTCATTCCGTGTGTGCCGAAGTGGAGGTTGGGACACTTGCTTGAAGAGGCCAAGGACTACGTTTGGCTGTGGCTCAAAAAGATGTACCAAAATGGCACCTTGGTAAATGGAACCAAAGACTAAAACCTGCGTAACCCTGGCTCTTCAATTTTGAGCCACACCCATTTGTTTCAAGAGTCCAGTCTTTTGGCGAGGAGACGGACGTGCACATCGCAGGCAAAAGACTTGACACAGGTTGGCATTTCGTGCGCGGACAGTTAGAGTCAGCTCTTGACACATTTAGCCGTGGGTCAACACCAATGGTACCATTTTGGGGTAGATTTTAGTGGGGATTGGGATGTTCACTGGGGGTTCGGGATTTTGACCCATGCCCATTTTGGTCCTTAATCTTTCAGCTTATTTCTTTGCAGCGTCCGCAGGCCGACCAGTTGACAAAGACGTGACGCGATGTGAGGAGGCTGCGATGGAAGCAACGCCTGCAGCTTGAAACAAGCACGGCTGGGGCAAATGCCAAGCTCGATCGTTTTGAGAGACCTCACTCAGGTCAGTGCTAGTCGCACCGATTCTTTACCACGTTGGTGATATGGCAGTTCCCATCCATGCCCTGCCCCGGGCCAATGCTCGTCAGGCCTTGCAACCGGCTCCAAAAAAGAGACAGGATGGGCATGTCAGTCCAGGTCGGCCAACTTTCATCGGGAGCCACGGTGAAAGGATTTCCAGCAGGGGGCTGGACGAAGCTAGCTCGGGACTCGGGACTCGGCGCCGTGTTTTATGAACCGTTGCTCGGCTCCATCAAAACCAAGGCTGAAGGTGATGCACACTGGGTGCAGCCCCTGTGTCGTTTTTTTTGTGCTGGTATTCAGATTGTAAGGCTCCCTATGCCTTTGAATGCACTTGATGCATTGTAAAACGTCAGCCTTTGGTTACTGCCTTCATGTCTGGGTTGCTGCAGCTATTTTCAGACTGAGCAGAGGGTATGAGCCATTCGGGCAGCCATTCTTTCCCCGCGGTGTTCGTCGAGCAGGCGCTTCTTACACAGCGCAAGGCCCAAGGTCCTCGGAATCCACCAAAACGGTCCAGAAAAACAAAGCCAACATGTGATGGGAACCCCTGCAATTGACGAACTGTTTTTGTGGTTTGCTTTTGTGTTTTCCTCTCGGACCTGGAGCCATCACTGCAACCAGTCTTTGCCTCTCGGCTGGACCTAGCTCTCTTTGAAGGCGCTGCCTGCCCGCATGGATGATGAAGGCTGGGATGGCACATCTCTTTCCTCCGCTTTCAAAGCTCTCAGGCAGAGGATCATCGCTTGGGCAACTGGGAGACGGCTCCGAGACTTCTGTGGACTCCAGCAGATTCAAGGACCCATATGACCCACAACTGTCATTCTATCCGTGCCTTGGGGGTTTTCTGATTCCATCTCCAATCTTGGATACGTGACTTGCTGAATCAGCCATCAAGCCATGGCTTGAAATGACTAGCAGCACCTTCAAACGGGAGAGATGCCAGCATCATGCAGCATTTTGCCGCTGGTCCCTCACCCTTGCGCGGTATCCGGGATTTGGACAGGACCTCTTGCGGCAGCTCTCCGAGGAACACGATCTACGTATTTCGGAATTGAGTCAGGCGGGCCACTTCTGACTTCTTGATCACTTACTCGACCTGCCTTTAAATTGAATGTCATGTAGAGCTTGACATTTCACATTCATTTTTTCTTCAATCAGCATGAGTGCTTGGGGTTGCTTGAGTCCTTTAAACCTCTGTCAAGGAGGGTGTGTGTGTGTGTGTGTATGTGGGGTGCCCGCTCCTGTGCCTTTCTAATGATTAAGCAGCAGCATCAACGTCTTTTAGGCCATTTGCACCGACTTCATTTGTTTCCTGACCCGACGCTATCACCTTTCAGCACTTGTCCCATGTCTGGATTTTGGGCCGTCTTTCCTTTCAGCTGATTTGGCCATGCCGCCACGTGGCGTCTGCACTTTCCTCCACTGTTTTGCCTGTAAGCCGGCTTAGCCAACCAACGGAACTCATCAGGGAAAGAATAGACTACCTGTCAATGCTTTCTGTGAGGTGTATGTCTATAAGCTACCTGGTGCTCGGCGCAGAAAAAATCAACGTAACCACCTTAGCAAAATGTGGTGATGCACACAGTGTGCCTCCATTGTGCCCGCGTTGAAGTGCTGCTTTTTGAGCAGGCTGTTTTGGAGTACAGCTGCGTTCCCCGGCATTATACTAAACACCCATAATTTCACCTAGGCCATACGCGGCAAAACACGGCATCACCTTTTGCATCATTGCTTTGCGTGAACATGTCCAGCAAAGTAGACTGCGTAAACGCAAGCGCACACGCACGCATTGAGAGAGAAGAGGAGAAGGAGGGAGCGAGAGAGAGGTGACTGCGTGGAACAGGCAAATTCTCAGCTCCTCCAGGAGCTGGAGCGTGGTTCAAGGCAGCTGCAAGCTGCACTTTTGCCTTGAGCAATCAATAGACTCTCAGATGAAGGCACTCCAGCTCCAGCCAGTTGGTGCTCGCTGTTCCTCAGGACCAGTTTTGTTCAGCAATGCAGACTGGGTTCAGTGTGGTCACTGGGATCACTGCCGTCGCGCGCATTGGCTTTTGTTGGGTTTTGAGTCAAGTGCCCACCATTCGAGTCCTCGACTTTGCTGCTCCCTTCACCGACTTCAGGAAGTGAGTTCGAAAGAGACGCGGACCCCGCCCCCTTCAGGCGGGCCACTTGTGATTTGCATGGTCAAAGCACCCGATGGGGGTGGTCGTGCACCCGTTGCGTAGGGCATTGAGACAGCCCTGACATTTGAAACTGGCACCGCTCATATGGCCAAGGAGTCTTTTTCATGGCACCTGTGTTAGGGATGGGACGCGAGATCTCGAAGCAAACATATGCAAGGCTCTCAGAGACAGGCTTACACTGCACGAGCTGTGAAAAAGATGGCTTTGCAAAATCAAGGCGGCCGCGGAAGAGCCAGAGACCTTCCCTGTGGAAAGGTGTGCTCAGCCTTCGGCGTGTTTTCGCCTTGCGATTGGCAGGAGGGTGAGCCGCCTGAAGACCGGCATGAATCACCAGGCATGGCTCAATGGCTCAGCCTTCGGAAATTTGACGAACCCTTAACATATGCTTTTACCGATCCATGGGTTTTGGGCGGGGTGAACTTTTCTGGTTGGCGCTCCGTTTTCCGCACGCTATGGAGGTCACCGATGGCTCACAGGAGGGATTTCAGCTAAAGGCCAGGGCGAAGTGCAGTTCAGCTTGAGCCCCGATAGAAGCAGCTTGTTGTATAGGCTGTGTGGATGGAGTACACAAACGGAGACGGCGGCTGGACTCTTACAGTTGCTTTGCTGAGATGTTGAACCTGATTTGCAGTGCGTGCTACAGGGTTCAAAATCCTCGCAACAGCCGGGGGGAGTGTAAGTTTGAGTCCCTGACAGAATTTCGAGTTGCAAGGCAGCAACTTTCACTACTATGTGGCTGCGGCAGCAAAGGGTGCCAGGCTTGGGATGGACGACACGTCCTAGCAGAGTCTTGTGATTCCAGTCTGAGTCCCAGGGATCTTTGCATGCCCCCTCCCTGCGTGAAAACTCGAACACTCTTCGTCAGCAATCCGTGCTATCATGTTCAGAGTGCTTGGCCAGGGTGATGGGGCTTTCTTCAAGGAAATCGCGATCTAACCGTCTGGCTGGCCTGTGATTCAGACTTGACTGTGCCGCCTTTCTGCGGACTTGCACATTTGAGGGCAACTGATCTCTGATGTAGATAAGTATACGGAGGGGTATTCGTTTTAGGTAATTTTTTTTCCTGTGGATTTTCTTTCGTTTTTGGCTTCTTGGCTTCTTGGCTTTTCGGCTTTTCGGCTTTTCGGCTTCTTGGCTTGGGAGCCGTATCCTCATTCCCAGTTGGCAGGTGGCCTTTTGGCCTTTTGGCTTCAGCTTTTCGTGCATGTATGTAGACAAAGATGCACGCATTCTTGTTGTGTGGCCTCTATAAGTTGCGCCTGCGTGTTGCTGCAGCGGCACCAGTTCTTCACGATGTAACACAAAGGAAGAAGCGTCGTTCCCAACTCGTTCATGGTTGATTGCCTCTGAGGCTTCTGAAGGAGTTGTCTGCATGACACATGCCAGGTGATCTTATCGGGATGAAGGAGGCCAGCTCGTCCCAAATGCCTCGTTGCATCCAATTCACAGCATCGGCCCATTGGTGGTTTGCCGCTTTCTGAGCAGATGCTGGTTGTTTTCCTCATCCTAATAGGGCTGAACATTCCAACGTGTTCTGCAAAAAAGGCACCAAACACTAGCAAGAACTTATGAGACACAACTGAATCTTGAGCCCGACTCACAATGTTGCTTGCTGCGATGTCATCCTTGGCGCAAGGCCCAGCCGATCATCACCAAATGCTTGGCGACTGCTAAGCCAGGCAACAACTGTCTTCCTGGAGTACTGTGTGATGGTTTGCGAAGCTCGTTTGTTCAGGCGTCGTGTCTCCAAGTGGCACCTACCGCATGTGCTGGGACTTGATAGGAGCTTGGGTGCATGTGCGGCGACACTGACAACCCACGAAGCCATCACGCGCGCACACACACACACACACACACGCACCTGCAGGATTGGTCCTTATCCTCTATGACACCTTTGTGATACCCTTGCAGGCGTTTGAGGTTGACAGAAGTGCTCCTGCCGGTTTGTCGCCTGACTCGGAATCTATCCATGATGTAGGTGGCTGTTGAATTGCAGATTCAATTGCCTCGTCACATGCTGACATGCACAGAGTTTGCCATATATCTTTGTGTGAAGTCAACTGAATGGTGTTGCCAGTGCCCATGGCCAGATGACTTTGTGGTTGGCATGGACTGGGTCACGCAGATCTTCTGGCCTGTGCCTCAACTTTCGCATGATTTTTATGGGTCAACTCACATCCATGAGGACGCTGGACATGTTCCAGTCCTTCTTTACTGGATACTTCAAAGAGGGTGTACAGATCATGGAGATGAGGACAGATGGATCAGAGCAGAATTTTGCTTTCTTGCTTCGCTTGTGACCGAATGATCTTGCCTGCCACTTTGAGAGTAATGCAGGAAAATCGTGCCGCACTACTTGAAGACGTGGTTTATCATTGACCTGGTGGTGGTAGGGTACGCATCACGGAAGTGCGAGCGTGACTAACCTGCGAGTCACACGACTAAGCTCTCGCAAGCAGAATATGGCAGGCCAGAATGGTTTACCTCTCTGTCTCGTGATGGAGTGCTGCTCTTGGCTTGCTACAAAGTCGTAGGCGCATGTCCAATTCCATGATTTTGACTCAGTTTGGTCTTGACGGGGTTGGCATCGGCCGAATTCTGCGGCTCGGCAGAGCGATGCGTCGGGGCCTCGCTCTGCTGACTCTTGCTTTAGGCCGCCTCATCGAGCCGAGCGACTCGAGGCGTGCTGCGGCTGCTGCGGCTCTTAAAGTTGCGACGCATCGTGGATGCGCTGCTGGAGCTCGTGGAAAGCGAGTGCGCCTTGTTGACATGGCTGAGACCCTGAAAAAAGTCTCGCGCCGAAGGTATACATTTACGATCATCAACTTGCTGAAGCTGCTCTTTGCCATTTTTGCTCTCGCCTCAGCTGGTTTGGTAACTTGACCCATGCCTCTCTCTCGCTCTCTCTGTTTCTCTCTCTATCTGTCCCTCTCTCTCTCTCTCTTTGCAAAAGAGCTTAGTGATGCTGTCCACTTTTGCAAGCACAGTTTTTGCGGAGTATTCGCACAAGTGGAATGTGACATTTGCAAGATTCTTGAGGTACTCAACCACGTGATTGCCTGTGTTTGGTGCGCTGCG